AGTATTGTATTTGTTATCTGATGTTTGATGTTATTTAAGTTTAGACCGTGTTATCTGTCCCCCGTGTTTTGGATTACCTTTTGCCACGTTTTTGTTCTGTTCTGTTTATTTATACTTTAATAAACTGCACTTGGATTATACCTTGACAGAATACTGCAGCCACTACAAGATCCAGCAGTTTGTTTTTCTTTTTGTTGAACTATGGACATTCGGATTGTCCCTCCTGCCACAGGGAAAGAGCGAATGGCTCGAACCCGGACTCTGATGGCTCGGAGGCAGCAAGGAATGGAGGTTGGTGGTTTTGCCCAGACTTTTGGATGTTGGCGGTGGGGCTGAATTATAATGAGGCTGCACTTAAGGACCTCCTTAACATCTGTCTGGATAATCCTTTGCCCCAGTGGGAGGTGGAAGAACTCGAGATCTTAGACTTCTGGGGCTTCGTCAAATATCTCCAGGGTCGAAGTCAGTGGGCAATACCAGGCCAATCAGAACCCTTCTGCAGGGATTTTCCAACCACCTCTATCCTTCAGACTCCCACTAAGCAGCGGAGGGCGAGAAGGAGGACCGTAAAGCCCGCTCCAGTCCAGGAGCTCACAGAGCTCATTCCAGAGCCCGCTCCAGTCCGGGAGCTCACAGGGCCCCCTTCAGAGCCCGCTCCAGTCCAGGAGCCCACAGAGCTCAAGGAAGTCACTCCAGTCCGGGAACTAACCGGGACCGTTGCGGAGCAATCGGCTTGTCCTGTTGCAGCCGTTGAGGCTGGTACTAAACTCTCTTCTCTTGTTTTCCCTGAGTTGCTGAGAGGGTTTTCTGTCCCACCAGCGTAGCCTGACAGGATTCCGGCTCTGCTCTGGTTGCCCGCCTGGGTTCTGGTTTGGCAGGAGCCTCACTGGTTCACTCCTCCGGCTCCGTCCTGGCTATCTGCTGGGGTTCCTGTATGGTTGGGGCCCTGCTGGTTCGTCCTGCCGGCCCTGCCTTGGCTTTCCACCCTGCTGGTTCCGCTCTCATACCCTGGTTTACCTCTGTCCCCTGACCCACTTCCCTTGCATGGTCCTGGCCAACCATCCCTCCCCCTGGTCAGCCTCAGTTCCACCTCCCTCCTGAACTTTTATGTTTTCTGGTGGAGCGTCTGGTATCCGCTCCGTAGCGGGGGGGAATGTCACAGTGTCTGGTTGTGGTGCCCTGGACTGGCCACTTGAGGGCGCTCTCCCGTTTCTGTCTTATGTTTTGAACTCCATTTCCCATAGTCCCTTGCCTGTCAATTCAGTTCTGATCATGATCACCTGTTAATCATTTCTGATCATGCTCACCGGTTAGTCATTTACTCATCCTATGTGTATATACACACACCATGCTCCTGTCTGTCGTTGCAGCAGTTTTGTATTTGTTATCTGTTTAAGTGTAGACCTTGTTATCTGTTCCCTGTGTTTGATTACCTTTTGCTACGTGTGGGGTTTTATATATTTTTTTTTATATAAATACTTTAATAAACTACACTTGGATCTTGCGTTGTTTTCTCCTTGCATTCTGTGACCGTTTCACTTGCATTTGTAATGAGAGAGATATATGCTTTTTGAATTTTACAATTTACACTTTTATTTGTTTTACATGATGGTGATTTACAAATATTGGTGATTTATACTGTTTACACACTCACATTAAGGATGGATATGTCAGACCAAGTCTCAAAGGAGCGCCAGTCTACCTCTCCAAGTTTAAACTTCCATATAATAAATGTGCAGACAAACACGGCAATGAGTAAAGACCATGTCTTCTGAATAATACTGAGAGCCAATTGATTTCATAATCATCCCCCCACACACAAAACAAGAGAGAAAATAGTTAATAAAATACTAAACCTAAGTTGACCAATCTTAGGGATATTATCACCGTGGAACACTTTAGGAAAATCATGGAAACAACTTCCAATCGTGCTGGTTGTGTGCTGAAAAAAAACATTCCTGAACAAAGCTAAATGAAAAGGATTCTAGACTTTTGTGTTTCTTTTCTTCTCTAAACTGTGTTTGACCCATACTGGGAATCTGCTGGCCAAAATCATGTTTATTATTGTTACCTCCACTGTTGCGCCTTTGATAGTACAAATATTGACACACAGGTGGAGCAGTTCACTACTGTGCTGACCTTAAGCCGAGCATGCCTGTTCTCTCTCTCTTTTTATTTGTTCTGGATGTGGAAATTAGAGCATTGTAATAACCTTCTTGAGCTGATCAGGGTAAATGTTTTGAGCAACGTGACATGATTTGCGACTGCATTGCAGATAAGAATGTGAAACCTTTAAACTGAGTATTCTGGTTGAGACAATACGTTTAGCTCAGAAAAACACATCAGAAGATTGAGGTCCAGGCAAAGCTGTTGTGCTGAGTTCCAGCATTGTTTTACTGTGGTGTTCAACACTTACCACTGAGAGGAAAGTTGCGCATCTGATTGCAAGTTATACACCCTAGGTTGTTGTTTTGTCTGGCTTGACAGTGTGTTGTGGTGTGTAGTACACAAAGCTCTGTGCTGAAGGTTCAATATTAAGTGCCATCTTAGACATTTCATGTCTCTCTGTTGCACAGGAAAGCATGTTTCGTGTGAAATGTAAAAGTTAAAACCCTTGCAAGATTCAATCAAACAGCTTAGTGTTAGGAAAATTTAATTAAAAAAGAATGCTGTTTCATTACTTTACTTTTGCAGCCAACCATCACAGAACACAACCCACAATTACTGTAGGAAGGCAGCAGGAAAAATCAGTTCATGTTTACCATAGCAATTAAACTACCTGATAAACATTTATCAAGATAAGATGGGCTCAGATTTACCCCTATGTTAGTGACACATGGAACTGAACTGAATGATATGATCTGTGGTGATTAAAACTAAAATATTTAAACTGAAAACACAATCAGAATGCAATACACAAGGAAGTCAGAATATTGTTAAAAACAAAGACTAATCCAGACTTCAGGCTCCAAAGAGCCATGACTACATTTTTTACAGTTTGCCAGTCTGCTCTGTAAACAGGGATCTAGTCACTTAAGTTGTTTGGAAATAAACAATTTCAGTTGGCCTGGTTAAGTTTAGATGTGTGCCAAGCCATCAGATCACTGTGCCATCCCCTGAGGGAGGAATGCAATGCAAAGTTGATTATTTTTCGTGTCATTAATTAATTGATACAATGCTGTGAACAAATAAATCAAGAACCTAGAATCCTAGACACATTCTTTTGAAATAAATCAAGCTAATACCTTAATTAATATTAGATGTATTAATTATTCAGACGTCTACGGAATGTTATTACAGATTGCCTAATCCATTGGTCATGTTGATCTTGTATAAAGACTAATATTCCACATAAAAAAACATACAACTACACTGTAAAAAATGCTGGGTTAAATGAAACCCAACGCTGGGTGAAATATGGACAAGCCCAGCTATTGGGTTGTTTTGACCCAGTGGTTGGTTGGAATGTTTAACCCAACCTTCCGGGTAGTCAACCACTGGGTCAAAACAACCCAATAGCTGGGGTTGTCCATATTTCATCCAGCGTTGGGTTTCATTTAACCCAGCATTTTTTTAGAGTGTAACTACAGTATTTGTTACTAGAAAACATATTTGGAGTTTTCCATTATTTTTGTAGACATTTTCTAGACAATGTCAGTTTAATTATCACTATTACCCATCATAAACCAGTGCTTAAAATGTTTTGTCCTTTCAAACATTTGCTGACTGATCGAAAAGCATAAGTTGTTGTCAGTCTGAAATGGCATGAAATGCAGTTACAAACATATGTAGTGAAGAAAACAGCTTGAGTGGAAATGACAGCTGAACCTGTGATAGTTACAGTCACTCGGGGAAGGAAGGAACGAGAGAGTGTAACTACAGTATTTGTTACTAGAAAACATATTTGGAGTTTTCCATTATTTTTGTAGACATTTTCTAGACAATGTCAGTTTAATTATCACTATTACCCATCATAAACCAGTGCTTAAAATGTTTTGTCCTTTCAAACATTTGCTGACTGATCGAAAAGCATAAGTTGTTGTCAGTCTGAAATGGCATGAAATGCAGTTACAAACATATGTAGTGAAGAAAAATAGCTTGAGTGGAAATGACAGCTGAACCTGTGATAGTTACAGTCACTCGGGGAAGGAAGGAATGAGGAGACACTGGAGACTATTCAGAACTTGACTTTAATTCACGAAACAAGGCGATACCAAACATCAGGATGACATTTAACAGCCGACGGAACACACTGGGAAACACAGGGTTTAAAAGCTCAGAAACTAATGGGACACACCTGGGAGCAAATGAACTAATTAATGAAACACAGCTGGACACAAATGATAACCAATGAGGACAGGACACAGGAAGAAGCAAATAAGGGCAAAACAGAACATACACATGACAGTGATATGAAGCATGAAAAATCAAACAATCATTAAAATACTGAATCAGTTAAATATATAGAGAGTGTCATAATTCTTAATTTGTAGTAAATTGTGGTAGATTAATAAATCCACATTTTATTAATAGCATTTTATTTTTTGTATTGAAACAGGTCTTTTGTTCAAATCTAAATCTAAATAAACATGAAAAGCATTATAGATAACAACATTATTATTTGAATTTTGTTTATTAATTTTGAACCACCAAACAATCAGATATTGTTTTAAATATCCAAATATTGTATCAGCTCACAGATTCTGTTGTGGCGGTTTACAACTACAAGGTCTGGTGGACTGATTGGACAACAAATAAACAAATCTGTTGCTGTGGTCTACTGAACAATCATTTATCAGACACATTTACTTATAGTACCCTTATTATAGGGACACAAGTCATGCCTACAGGAACAATGGTGGTAAACCTACACCCTTTCAACCCTTAGTATTAGCTTATTACCCTTCAGTTATTTAAAAGTGATACACACAGTTATTTACGAAAATCATGTGTTTCTTAAAAAATAATCTAAATGACTTTATCCTGTGTTAATTTCTTAGGAACAAGAGGACCCCAACAAGCTTGCTACCAGCTGGCCTGATTACTATATTGACCGCATCAACTCCATGGCAGCTGTAAGTACTTGCTTTATTACCTTTATGTTTCTAATATGCAACATGTTCAAGAGACACAGTTTCACACATCTAATACTGTATATTGATACACATGCAGCTGTTTACATTCACAGACATAACCGGCTGTTTATGTGAATTTTGTGTTTATGACAGTTGACACAAAAGAGCTGTTTCCCTGTGCATGCACTTTCAGAAAACCATATTTCAGAAGTTTAAACTGACAAGGTTTTTTAAACGCAAAGAATAAACTTTTCATGATAAGGAAGAACTGCAAAGTCATGGGAGTGTGAACGTTATAGAGATGATAATCAAAATTTATCAGATGCTTTTTTTGTTGCGTGAGCTGCCAAGCACAGCCCTCTTCTGGAAAAGGGGACAGAGAGCAGTATTTTACAGTGGCCGAGGAGTGCAAAACAAATCACAATTCTGAAAACAAAATAACAAATTACAAATGCAAATGCAAATCTAAAAAACAAAATAACAATTCAGAAAACACAACAGCAATTGTGAAAACATTATAACTAGTCAGAAAGCACAACAACAAATTAGAAAACAAAATAAGTCAGAAAACACAACGACAAATCAGAAAAAACGGAAGAGGTAGGTATAGTTTGAGACTGGATTACTTACTGCTGACTGTACAAGATATCTGTCAAACAAGGTATACAGGAAGTACAGCAAACTAGTGGTAAATAATTTGGAGATGTTCTTAAAGTAGCTCAGTATAAATAAGTATTACTCTTACTGTGGAATAAAATATGACGTGCTTTGCCTGGATTCATCTGCACTCATCATCAGTTGCAGTCACCTGTCTCTCATAACCTCATCAGTCTCACACTATAAGAATGGCACACAAACACTTTCACATTGTGGTAGCCTGTAACGTTTCCTGGTCTTCTGTGTTTCCTTGCCTTGCCTTGCCTTGCCTTGCCTTTGTTTTCTTTGATCTTGGACTGTTTTCTGTTTTGTTATTGTTTGCTGCCTGCCCTGCCCTTCGCCTGTTACTGGATTACCCTTTTGGATTACCTTGTGTGCTACTGTTTGCTGGTGTTTTGACCCTGCCTGTCTAACTACATCTTAATAATTTAATTGAAATATTGAACTGGAATTAAGATACATAGTTCATAGCCTACATAGTTCAAAAACTATTTTGGATCACCAGAAATATAGAAGATAAAATATAGAAGTTTGTCTCTTAACAGCTGTACACAAAGCAGCGCGGCTTTCATAAATGCTACCTTATCAGGCATTATATTTAAGATGAAATGAAAATGACATTGAAACTTCTCTGAAGACAGATTATTAGCTACCATTCTATTTGGTGGATCACCAGTCACATATGGCATCAGGTTGTGGCTACAGTGTCCAATAAAGTGATGCCATTTTTCAAAAAGGCTTTTCTGAGTCATAATTTTGAATTCATTTCGTAATGAATTTTTTTCATTGTTAGAAGTTTATTGAAATATCAGTAATGTACGTAAAGCTCAATCTGCAAAAAAAGTCTTGAGAAAAGCCTACACCATTGTTCTGTTTATACACACACACGTATGGGTGTGTGTGTGTGTGTGTGTAGGCTACAAATTTTCAATTAAACTGTGGAAGCTATTCGATGCAGCTCGCCATGCTCGTCTGTTAACTAGTGCAGTTATGCCACACTACACTCTAAAAAAAATGCTTGTTTAAATACAACCCAGCGCTGGGTAAAATAGGGACAAACCCAGCAATTGGGTTGTTTTGACCTAGCGGTTGGGTTACTACCCAGAAGGTTGGGTTAAACATTTAACCCAACCGCTGGGTCAAAACAACCCAATTGCTGGGTTTGTCCCTATTTTACCCAGTGCTGGGTTGTATTTGACCCAGCATTTTTTAGAGTGTAATATCTTTATGATGGTTTACACTAAGCAAATAACATTTGCATTGCAGCTGCAAGAGATTTTATACTCTTCTCTCACGGCGTTGTGCCCGTGCTGTGTTCTGCGCTATTAACTATAGGCTATGCATCAACTATTATAAAAAAAATTTAAATAAATAAAAGTAACTATCTTATAGCACGAGAAGGCGAAATATGACTTATTAAAGAATTATTAAAGATAGCTACACTCTAAACAAAAATGGTTCTTTAAAGCTTCTTTACATGCAGTAATGGTTTTATTTACAACCATAGCATTCTGAAGAATGTTTTTATGCTGAAATGGTTCTTTGTGTTAGAGTTTAGGGTTCTTTGTTCCCGCCCTTTTGTTTTTCAAATCTGTAACTGACAAAGCAACTCATTACTGATTTTCTGGAGTTCAGTGATCCAACTACACAGACTAACCCACTCTCAACAGGTAAATGATTTCATTCTTAAATTTAAATACAAATTTAACTTTAAAAATGTAACTGCTTTCAAACAAACATGTTCTTATCTTTTTTTGTTTGTTTGTTTTTGGTCACATATAAGTGTGTGCAGCTCTGCTAAGCTGTGGAAACTTCTCTCCTCCACAAAGTAAGTAAAAGAGACAATGAATTTATAATTAATATCGTTAGATTTTTTAATTATTACTTGGGTTTATGTATAAACATACCCAGTCACAAAAAATATTAAAACTATCCCATGACTTTATATCACTTTTTTCTTTTAAGATTGTGAAGGGCTCACATACTGTCCATTTTTGCTTTTGGCCTTCATAAACATAATTGTTTTTACATATTACTGTAAAAACTGTAACGCTAAACTCAATTGTGTATTTCAGATGTATCACATCCTACAACCTCATCATCTGCAGAGCAAAATCGCCACTTAATCACTCCAAAATTATGGACTTTAAGGCATCATATTGATTGGATTGTGATTGTTTCACTGAAAGTTGGTCTTCATCACATCTATTTTTTGTTCTTATTTTGTTTTACTTCTTTATGTATTTATTCATGTTCAATGTCAATTGTCATTCATTAATGTATTCAGCTAATGACTGTTGTTAAGAGCACTGACAATTTTGTATGTCAATAGAAACGTACTTAATTCACACAACATGCTGCTGTTGTGGTTATTGTTGTTGTTACTGTTGTTTTAATGTAAAACCCTAACCAAGGCTACACTCAAAGATGCCTCATTACTGATTTTCTGGAGCTCAGCCACCCAACTACACAGACTGTCAACATACTCTCAACAGGTAAATAATTTCTTTCTTAAAATGTCTATGAATTATAACTTTCAAATGCTAATTGGTTTTTCCATGTCTTTTCTCTTTTTAGTTTAAGAGAACATGCAAGTGTGACCAGCTCTGTTCAGGTAAGGATACTCTCCTCTTCTTCACTAAGTAAATAACAAAGATATTGAATTTATGGTCCTTTTTTTTTTACTAGAGTTTATGCATAAACATACCCAGCAATCCCATGACTTTATATCACTTTTTCCTTTTAACATTGTGAAGGGCTCACATACTACTTTTGCCTTTCATAAACAATTGTTTTCACATAAACAAATGAAAGGAGACAAACTGTATATCTAAACTCAATTGTGCATTTCAGATGCTGTCACATCCTACAACCTCATCATCTGCAGAAAGAAACTGCCATTCAATCACACCAAAATACAGATAATGATTAACTTAGAGGTATCATAGAGGATTGTGAAGATATTTCACTGGAGCTTGTCTTCATTTCACTATTTTATGTTCTATTTTGTTTGACTTCTTTAAGCATTTATTTATATTCAGTTTCCATTGTCATTCAATAATGTATTATGCTAATAAATGTTGTTAGAACACTGTCATTTTTGCTACAATTTCACGTCATTAAAAAAATAATTTGACACATTGTTTTTGATGATGATGATGTTATTGTTGTTGATTTTATGTAAAACCCTAATACACACTTCAAGATATTATAAGACCAGACAGATAGAGGGGTAAAAAACAATGAATAAATACTATATACAAATAATACTAATATTAAATTATATTAACATGCTAATATTAATGAAAAACTATCATTAAAAAGGTTATTTATAACACCATTAAGGTCCTATATAGCATTTTCAAAGCATGGTTCTATATGGAACCCTATAAAAAGGTTCTATTTAGCACTAAAAAGGATTATGCTATTGTTACAAGCCGAAGAACCCTTTCTGGTACTGTTTAGAACCATTTTTTTTAAGAGTGTACTGTTTGTAGTCTATACTTTACACACGCATTTATTTCTCATTTGTCTCAACCATGTCTCACCTTATCCTTAATTGCAATCGCCGACATTAGTCACTAACTGATTTGAGGTTGGACTGGGCTACAAGAATTATCATCTGTCAAGTTCAAAATGAAAATGTATCCAGTTATAATGTTTTCTGAATTGTTGTTGTGTTTTCTGAATTGTTATTTAATTTTGTTTTCAGAATTGTGATTTGTTTTGCAATACTCAGCCACCATAGTATTTACATTTAAAGACACATGAAAACAATGTGTTTCTGCTTCCACCCAAAAAGGGGCATTTACAGCACGGTATAATAAAAAAGCAGCCAGAAAAAAAAAATCTTATTTTTAGGAATAAAATGTTATATAAACCAGGCAAATGATATAAACCTCTTTATAAAATATTTCAAAATATAAATAGGAAAAAAACGGAACGGTTTGGTGTATGTTAGTGCTACTGAAGTAGATATTTAAGACTCAGTGCTTGTAGATAGGAATAAAACTGGCTAGGAGAACTTGCACAATTGGTGGCTGACTAAATACTTTTTTGCCCCACTGTATGTATTGTAATTGACCTCTACAGATGCAAATAGATAAAGTGTAATAAAATGTACTTACGTTTTTATTTTGGGTGTTTACTTCCCACTAGCCTGAAAGACATTATGGAAGCAAAATAGCCCAAAATCTCAAAATTGACCATTAGACTGGACATGGTTTATAGCTTTTCTGAAGCATGCCTGACCTGCCATGATCCGTTTTATTTGTTTAAAACCAGAGTAAAAGTTTGACGAAAATCACTTGTATTTCAGATGCAGACACTATTTGCTTTTGATGAAGAGGAAATGGAGATGAGAAACAGGGTGGTAGAGGATCTAAAGACAGCCCTCCGGACTCAACCAATGAGGTAAGAGAACTTAATTCTTTATATTGATCCATAATTCTGATCTCCAGTTCAAGGAGTCAAAAGTGAATACCCTGATTTAAAAGAGCTGCTCTCAGCAAACTAATTCCGGCTGGGATTATGTGGGAAGTGCACTTTTCTACAGATTAGGATGTCTCTACCATGTGTGAGGATTGGCGTGGAGACGAACATTACTGCATCCGTCTTTGTCTGTGACTGTCTGATATTGGTTGATCGCTACTTCTGAACACATTTATGTAATGTGTATCATTCATTTAGCTGAAACAGTGACTGACTGCTTCCTGTATTCAGTCCTGGACCTTTTTGTGCATAAAAACAGTCAGAATGAGACACCAGTATCTGTTTTCCCTTCAAAGATTAATTTATCTTTGAAATATATTTAATTGCCAAGCCCATGCTGTCATTAGACCATTAGTCTTGAGTCTCTTTCATCACTGCTGGCAAACAGAACCAGAGCTTTTTTCTCTGAGTCACAAAGAAAAATGTCTAAGCTGTCAGTCACACTGTACCCAGTCGTCTAGACATATAAGGCAACTTAAGCGGGACTGACTGTTAACATAACTGCTTCCACATTGCCATAGATGAGGGACCATATGGACCATGCACTTCAGTTTTTTGTGGTCAGTTTTGTCACTTAATGTTAGATGGTTTATTTTTGTGATCTTGGTTCTTTAGAGAGATAAATTGCAGTGTCATCTGAGTGGCCCCAGCAGTGCAAATTCAACATCTGCTTTGAGTGATGTAAGGGGCCGTTTACACGACAAAGTTTTCAGCCAAAAACTGGAAACTTTTATGTGTTTTGCCTGTTCGTTTACACGACAACGGCATTTTGGGGACTGAAAACGCATAATTTTGCAAACGGTTTTCAAAGTGCAAGTTTTTGAAAACGCCACCATTATTGTTTCCATGTAAACACCCAATACGGGAATCTTTGAAAATGGTGACGTCATGCACGTGCGTAGTACATTTTAAGTATGTAGATAATACAGCGTTTTTGGCAGTTTTCACGAATATGTGTAAACGCGAATTGTTTTGAAAACGTTGTCGTATATACGTGAAACTTTTTAAAAACGCAAGGGAAAAGCTTTTCCGACTACATCGTTGTAGTGTAAACGTAGCCTAAGATACAACTCAAGCAGCCTGCAACTTAAAAGCAATCAAAAAATTATTGGCTATAAATAGAAGTAACCCATGAATTTTTATGACAAGTTCTTCAAGAGCAGCTAGCTGGGTCTCGGATGTAATCCGCTAATGGATGTACATGTGGCTTTGAGGCTTGAAGGTATTTTTTCACCTCATCAGTGCCAGTGCAGGAATTACTTTAAATGAGCAAAAGTAAATTAAAATATTGAATATCCAGTTTACGTAGTAGTGAAATGTATTAAATACAAGTCAGCCTGAATGCTTTTTAAAGAACAACTTTTTTCATACAATTTTAAGTGTTTATTTCAATTATACTGTTTTTGCAGTTGTAGCTTTATTACCATCAGCTAATTTATGGCTTTAGGAGTCATTTTACACTGTTATAAATCTAACAAGTGCCATAATTAGATGATGTAACATCCACATCTGTCATGCAGTAACCAACTTTGTCCAATATGGAAAATGGTGCAAACACTGCCCACATGAAAACTCAAGCAAACATTATTTGTGATGCTATTACAGCCTTTTGAAGACCAGATCATTTGCAACAATCTGACGTAACCTACAGTAGTAAAAACAGGTAAAAGCTCTCTTTGCGGATCAGGTTCACAGGTTAAAAAAAAAAAAAAAAAAGAGGTTACAGTTAGCACTGTACAGATGTTTACTGCTGTCAAATAATTTTCTGGAACAATGTCACTCCATATTTGCTTCACAATCTCTTGAATGTTTTCATTAATATCAAAACAAGTACAGAGGAATTTTTAACTACTGTAGCTAATGTAAGATAATAAGAAAATAGTAAGATCCTCTGTTTTATTAACATTTGTTAGCCCGTATTTAATGCTTCTCAAGCTGTGATGTAAAGGCTATTTTTTTAAACATAAAAAAAAAATTAAAAATCCTGCCCCAACTTCCTGTTTAAACGGGAAATTTGTCAACAGAGGGGAAAAGACATGCCAAAGTCTGTGCTAATGTGTGGTAATACTATTCAAATCTTTCATACAGGACACACTCTGCTGTTAAAAAAAAAAAAAAAAAAGAGGTTACAGTTAGCACTGTACAGATGTTTACTGCTGTCAAATAATTTTCTGGAACAATGTCACTCCATATTTGCTTCACAATCTCTTGAATGTTTTCATTAATATCAAAACAAGTACAGAGGAATTTTTAACTACTGTAGCTAATGTAAGATAATAAGAAAATAGTAAGATCCTCTGTTTTATTAACATTTGTTAGCCCGTATTTAATGCTTCTCAAGCTGTGATGTAAAGGCTATTTTTTTAAACATAAAAAAAAATTAAAAATCCTGCCCCAACTTCCTGTTTAAACGGGAAATTTGTCAACAGAGGGGAAAAGACATGCCAAAGTCTGTGCTAATGTGTGGTAATACTATTCAAATCTTGTGTGTCTAATTTTATCATTGTTTAATGATCTAGGAGTGTTCCTCTATACCAGTGGTTCTCAAACCTCTCCATGAAGTACCCCCAACACTGCACATTTTGTATGTCTCCCTTTATCTGACACACCCACTTCAGGTCTTGCAGTCTCCACTAATGAGCTGATGAGTTGAATCAGGTGTGATAGATGAGGGAGACATACAAAATGTGCAGGGCTGGGGGTACTCCAGGACAGGTTTGAGAACCAATGCTCTATTCGCCACCCCTGCTCTATACCATTCCTGGAGAGCCACATTAATTAATTAATGTGGAATTACATACTTGTGAGTTTAGCATGTTGAGCTGAGTATGTAGGAAGTAGTGCTGTCAAACGATTAATCGCATACAAAATAAAAGTTTTTGTTTACATAATATATGTGTGTTAAACTGTGTATATTTATTATGTATATATAAATACACACACATACAGTATATATTTTGAAAATATTTCCATGTATATATTTATATTCATTTAATTTATATAATATATAAATATTTTAAATGTATAAACTTAACATATTTTTCTTAAATATATACATGCATGTGTGTGCATTTATATATACATAATAAATATACACAGTACACACACATATATTATATTAAAAAATTTTTTTTTTTGGATGAGATTAATCGTGATTAATCATTTGACAGCACTAGTAGGACGTAAATTATGTATATAGTTAGTAATGAAAATGTCTTCATACCTGTTCCCCATGATACTCTTTCAGACACTTAACCTCACACTGTTTATGCATTTAAACATTACTAAGTGGTGCATACATTAATTAACTGGTTTGGCTTCTTGAAATATAATTCAGTTTTGTATTTGTATTACACTGCAATCTCACAGCAAGAAAATCCTCCAAATATCCTTTTTTGGATATTGTCTTCAAGTTTCATGTGCTCAACCTTGTTTTTTTTTTTTTTTTTTGTCCACATTCTGGAAGGAGTGTGCAGATGGCAAGCTTTTCTTAATTTGGTAGTTTTAATATAAACAGTGTAGCCACGATACAGGGCCTCTGTCTTCACACCGCTGGTCAGCCAACACAAAATGTCACTCCAAAGCAAGATAGGTTTCACAACATCCTCCCGAAGACCCTGAACCTCTCACCACCACAATGAGGGGCTCAGATCGGGAAGAGTACTTGTGTCAAGTCAGTGAGAGATATGGCGGCAACATGTCTATTGATCTTTTGAATTACTGAGGTAGTACTTTCTGCACCTTTAAGAGTGTGATTAAAATTTGTAATTTATGACATGGAAAATGTGATCTAACTAAACTCACTGTGGTTCAGTTTAGGTCACCGGAAAGTATGTTCAGTTTAAGGAATGTTTTTAGCTATGTTTGGACAAAAATGCCTTGTTATTCTGAGGATGAAATGTCAGTGGGGGTTCAATAAAGAAACAGCCACCTTCTTCCCCCTCTTCTGCAGTTTGTGTAAATAATCTGATGTCCTCTCTCTCATCATAACCAAATATTAAGTTTCAAAATACTGATGATATGACCTCAAAGAGGTCCAAGTATGTGAAACTCAACTCTTTTTTTCACATTTGTCGAATGCTTTAATGGAAATTGCACCCGGAATGCTTTAAGCGTTTGGACGGATTTGTGTTTTTCTCTCCGTGCTGTGAGAAGTGTAGTAGCTAGGTCCATTGAGCATCACCTAGGAAAATAGAGTAAAGTGCAAGAGATAGCTTTAGGCAGCTCAGAAGTCATCCTGTGAGGCATGGTTTGTGTTGGCAATGGTTTAAAGGGACAATGTACTACCCCACGTGTGCCCCCTACATGCTCAGCTTCCAGGGTAATTTACACACTCCTGGCTGCTCTTTCCAGATTGGTGAACTGTAACTGATACACAATACTGCACACGTGCATGCTTTTGTTCACATTTAGTCTGGCTGAGTGTGACTGGGAACAGGTCAGTAAGGTACTTTTTCAAGGCTCAGCTGGCTTCATTTTATTGCTTATTTTACTGCTCATGTTATGACTATCACATATGCTCACTAAAGACTTTACAATCACTTTTTAAGACCAGATAAACCTAAAGCACCTAAATAGCTTTAACCTTTTAAACCATCAGATCTAGTGTTTCATATGACATCTTTCCAATCTATTTTTTTTTTTTTACTTAAGTTCAGCAGTCAAGGGGGCTTGGGCCCTGGTGACACATATGGACCATGTGTCAAAGCGGCTAATGCATATTGAGTGCACCTTCTGATTTGTAGCGTCCCATTCAGTTGTTCCCTCTGAAACTTTCTACAACTTGTGTTTTTTCTTTCCTTTTTTATAGCCTTGGAAGCTATTGTGTGTCACTCCAGTGGTTTTAGAGAAAGTAGCGTTTGTGCAGTTCACTTAATACCAGGATGCTGTCAACATTCTACACATGTTTCAATCTGGCATTAGTGCTTTGCATAGTACTGAGTCAGCATTGCTTAAGGTTACAGATTACATTCTGTTATCCATTGATTCTGAGTCATCTGTCATCTTGATATTGTTAGCTTTAAGTACTACATTTGACACTATCAATCACATTATTCCTTAAAACTGATTAAAATTAGTGCAGGGACGGTACCTTGGTCATAAACCGATTTAAAGGTCCCCATGGGGGGAAAACGTGTTCTGGGGTTGCGTAGTTGCATTACAATGCTTTACAATGGTTTGCTTCCAATTTAAAGGGTTGGACTGTCACTGTGGGGAAGTCATGGCCTAATGGTTAGAGAGTCGGACTCGTAACCCAAAGGTTGCGGGTTCAAGTGTCGTACCGGCAGGGATTGTAGGTGGGGGGGGAGTGAATGTACAGCGCTCTCTCCCACTTTCAATATGACTGCTCCCCAGCATAAATGGCTGCCCACTGCTCCGGGTGTGTGTTCACAGTGTGTGTGTTACGATGGGTTAAATGCAGAGCACTAATTCTGAGTATGGGTCACCATACTTGGCCACATGTCACGTCATGTTAATATTGTATTGGGTCATTTACTTCACCATCAGCTCCAGTCTCTTGTGTTGTTCCGCAGGTATCCATTCTGGGGCCTCTTTAGTTTTCCCTCTACATGCTTTGAGACCACAATTTATAACACCATTGCTTCACTTAGGTTCTGTTTTTCAAAAACAGAAAAAAAGAAAAACATTACGTATAATTGTTATGCTGTTGATCTCCAACTCTATCTTCCATGAATGAAATTAAAACTGAAGTGCTTCTGCTAGGTCCTGATGCCACTAATGACTCCATTAAAAGACAGTTTGGCTCCTTAAGTAACAACCTACACAGTCACGCAAAAAATCTTGCAGTTTATCTTGATCCTCTGCTCCAATCTGACAAGCATGTAAATGCTTGAATAAAGAGTGGCTACTTCCAACTTAGATCTGTAGCAAAAGTAAAACACTTCCTTTCTAGTAAGGTCCTTGAAATCATGATTTATGCACTTATTTATTTTACTATCATATATATTCTATAATTATATTAATTGCTACTAATACATATCAATTCTAATATTTCTCATAGTAAAACACTTTGGATCAACTACTGTTGTTTAAAATTGTGCTCTTAAGTAGAGTTTGACTGGACTCCCTAAAGTATCGCTGAGACCCTGAGCAGTAAGTCCTGCTTCACTAACATCTGCACCTCCACAGCACAGGAAAATGCTAATGAATGCACAGGGTCACAGAGACTGTGTTCAGGGGTTCATAATGGAATTATCAGATGTGGGACTGGAACTAGCTGACCTCTTCAAGGAATCAGGAAACAGCACCTCAATAAACAAATGTGGATTTTATGCAGCAAAGACAGTGTTCTACAAAAGTTGAGACAGAATATTCAAGTAAAAGCCCCAGAACAGATCACACATATTATGACTTAACACCCACTTTTTATGTAAGCAGCCTTGCTTGCCACCATGGATGTATTATTCAAACCCTGTTCCGGAATGTGAGTTTCTTGGCTGAAAAAGAGTGTCAGGTCAGAAGAGAGTATTTTCCACACTGGAATAATATGAATAAAAGTTCATGTGAAATTTTAATCTAGAATCATGAAATGAAAGAACAAAGAAATAAGGTAATAGCATCATCAAGAAAGGTTTTATTAATATTTAAAATTTGAGACCACAATGAAAGCATGTACGTGTGTTTGAATGAGATCTGGGAGAATCACTGTTTCATGAACTATTGATAAATGTGAGATTAATGATTGCAAACATCATTTCGGACTGAGGAGAGCCATATTGTATACATTTCAAATGACCCTTTATAACTCCATGGTATTAAATATATACAGGTGCATCTCAATAAATTAGAATGTTGTGGAAAAGTTCATTTATTTAAGTAATTCAACTCAAATTGTGAAACTCGTGTATTAAATAAATTCAATGCACACAGACTGAAGTAGTTTAAGTCTTTGGTTCTTTTAATTGTGATAATTTTGGCTCACATTTAACAAAAACCCTCCAATTCACTATCTCAACAAATTAGAATATGCCAACGTCACTGCACCTGTTTACCAAGAAATTTTGGAGCACTTCATGCTTCCTTCTGATGACCAGCTTTTTGAAGATGCTGATTTCATTTTCCAGCAGGATTTGGCACCTGCCCACACTGCCAAAAGCACCAAAAGTTGGTTAAATGACCATGGTGTTGGTGTGCTTGATTGGCTAGCAAACTCACCCGACCTGAAAGTGGATTGTCAAGAGGAAAATGAGAAACAAGAGACCAAAAAATGCAGATGAGCTGAAGGCCACTGTCAAAGAAACCTGGGCTTCCATACCACCTCAGCAGTGCCACAAACTGATCACCTCCATGCCACACCGAATTGAGGCAGTAATTAAAGCAAAAGGAGCCCCTACCAAGTATTGAGTACATGTACAGTAAATGAACATACTTTCCAGAAGGCCAACGATTCACAAAAAATTAGTATTCTTATGTATATTTATGAAGTATTCTAATTAGTTGAGATAGTGAATTGGAGGGTTTTTGTTAAATGTGAGCCAAAATCATCACAATTAAAAGAACCAAAGACTTAAGCTACTTCAGTTTGTGTTTACTGAATTTATTTAATACACGAGTTTCACAACTTTTTCACGACATTCTAATTTATTGAGATGCACCTGTACAATATTTATATTCCCTGCTATTTAAATAGTTTTCCCAGGTATTTCAAAGAATACAACAATAATGGATGTACCATGAAACTTTTGGTAAAAATGTTTGGAGTAAGATGACAAATTAAGTAATCTATTTACAATAAGCCCTTTATGTACTGTAAAAAAACTGGAGTAGCAAAATATGGCCTAACCATGAAACGGTCTGTGAACTCTTAGCATAAATTTAATGTGGAAATTGGATAAGGGGCTAATCCAGACAGTAGTGGTGAGGTGAGGAGAAGTCAAACAACTGTGGGCCAGCTATGATCTCATGTGTACATTGCTCTCAAAGATTACAGGTCACCCAAAGATCACTAAGCCATGCCAGGAGAGCCATGTCTGCTTTGGAACTAAGGTTTGATCAAGTTTGCAGGAGACGAGGAGCCACACTATATGGGATAATAACAGAACTGATTTATTCTAGGTAAAGGGAGATGCGTGGTATTCTTGGCATCCGCTGGCAATGAAACACGTGCATCTCACTTCAACTTGGCAAGCATTGATTTGAAAACAATGAATCTATTATGATTACAGACGATAAGTGTCTGTCCCTCAACCACCACCATCTACCTCTGTTGTCAGTACAGTCTCTGTAATAGATTAACATGGAAATTCACATAAAGAGCAGGAATGTAGAAACACGTTGTCACTTGATTGGCCAATCTTGAGAAGGGGCTAATGACATGCTTGACCTTAATTAATCTGAATAATGAGTCCCTGGTTTAGCTCAATATGATGAATGTGTGGATACATGCTCATTCTGCATTGACAGGTTTTTATGCTTGACTTGTTCATTATACAGTTTTATGTCTTATTTATTTGTGCAGTTGAGTATATAAAGAAGCCATCTGTGACTTTTCCCAAGATTTCTGCAGTTTTAAAGATAGTCCCTTCTGGTTTTTACCAAGTACTTCCTAAGATCATTTGTATTCAACTGACACAATTTTATTTATATAATTCATGTCTCATTGTGTAAAAGACCATGAGATCGCAAAGGTGCTTTCCTAGTTAAGGCCCTGTTCTAAAGGTGAGTTTTGTTGGATCAGTGTGCTGTTCATGTTTTTGAGAACAGTGTGGCAATGATAGTTATGTTTCCTGACATTCTAGGCATTGGAAAAAATCTACCTCACAAAACCTTTGACTCTCCCTTCAGGTTTGTGACACGCTTCATCGAGTTGGATGGCTTGACGTGTCTTCTAAACTTCCTGAAGAGCATGGACTATGAAACCTCAGAGAGCCGCATACATACATCCATCATCGGCTGCATCAAAGCCTTGATGAACAACTCCCAGGGCCGTGCCCATGTACTGGCCCACCCCCAGAGCATCAACATTATTTCCCAAAGCCTCCGCCAGGACAACATCAAGACCAAAGTGGCTGTGTTGGAGATTCTGGGTGCTGTTTGCTTGGTGCCCGACGGGCATAAGAAAGTATTACAGGCAATGGTACACTACCAGAAGTATGCTGCAGAGAGGACTCGCTTCCAGGTAAAATTGTTTTTATTGAGAGTTTTGCAACCGTAGAAAAGGAATTGAGCACGAAATTTCATTAGAAAACTCATTTTCTTTGAGGGTGGTACAATAATATGGGTAATTCTAGCTCTATAATCTGACAGGATGTGTCAAATAATATGTGCATACCTGTGATGGTACATCAGTCAAATTTGCCATAGAGTGTAATAGTGGTAAAGTGGTAAACTTAGCCTGCTGTTAGGCTAATGAACAGTATTACAGTGTGGAAGGGTTAGATCGGTCAGCTTATTTAACATTGGCATTTTATGTCATATTCCTCTGTTTAACATTTACAGTATAACTGTACAGAGTACTCAAAATCATGCATTATAGATATTTTCTCAGATTCTTACACCTTACAACACGGTACAGTAACTGTGCTAAGATCACTAACTAAAGTTAAATCACTCCTTTTGTAGCTTATTGTTTTATTAATGCATTTTCTAACATTTTAATTACTTTTAAACTGAAAAAAGGTGATGGCAGAAATAGGAGAGTGTCAAATTGTGGGCTGGAGTTTTGGGAGTCATTGTGGATTCTGACATTTCAGCATTTTTTAAAACCTCTCAGGAGACATGGTAATTTTAACCGCAGAACTGTGGAGGCCTCATCTTATGCAACATATGTAGGGTGATTTGTCTTTACTATGTGTTTATTCAAGTGTAGTTGACATGCCTGGCAACAACAAATGCCAGTGTTTGAAATATTAGCCTTTTAAGCATGGTTGATTCCTAGTGACCCAATAGATCTCTGAGCACTCTTGACACAATAAGCACCATAAGCAGACATTAGCAACCCATTCCAGAGAAAGAACAGAGAACATTCCCACCTGTTTGCACTGACTTTAAAATAGGGACTGTGATGAGAATTTGTCATTTATTGTCCTTATCGGTCTATTAGGTAAATAGAAAATCATAGATGGACCATCCATGAAAACCCCAGTAGTAAAGCAATTGAACAGTAAAAAAAAAAAAAGAACTTTACAGGGATCAGCAGTCAGACATTTCGCATTATACATCAGCTTATGAGTTGTCTTGCTATCTACTACGGAAGCAGTATTCTAAACACCATGGAATCTCATCTTTTAAGCATGGTTGATTCCTAGTGACCCAATAGATCTCTGAGCACTCTTGACACAATAAGCACCATAAGCAGACATTAGCAACCCATTCCAGAGAAAGAACAGAGAACATTCCCACCTGTTTGCACTGACTTTAAAATAGGGACTGTGATGAGAATTTGTCATTTATTGTCCTTATCGGTCTATTAGGTAAATAGAAAATCATAGATGGACCATCCATGAAAACCCGAGTAGTAAAGCAATTGAACAGTAAAAAAAAAAAAGGACTTTACAGGGATCAGCAGTCAGACATTTCGCATTATACATCAGCTTATGAGTTGTCTTGCTATCTACTACGGAAGCAGTATTCTAAACACCATGGAATCTCAAAAATTAAAACACTTTACATGGGCAACTTTATTAGGAGTCATTCACACAAATCAGACAAATAACTCTCTTTACTTGTACACACAAAAATACAACTTTACAGTGCTTGCATTAAACATTTACTTGTAACATGTTGCTTAGATAATAATGCAATACTCTAATTGAAAAAAAACTGATATTTGGTGGGGGAAAAAATCTATCTTAATTAGATTAATTGTATTTAATTAGATATTTTTGTATTTTTACTCAGTCTCTTTTGAACGAGCTGGACAGAAGCACAGGACACTACAGGGATGAAGTAAATCTGAAGACAGCCATCATGTCATTCATAAACGCTGTGCTGAATGCTGGAGTTGGAGAGGTCAGCTGATGACAGAACTTATAAATTATATGACATATATACACTATTAACATGATGATTTCCTTTGTTTCTCTCAAAGGACAGTCTAGAGTTTCGCCTTCATCTTAGGTATGAGTTTCTGATGTTAGGAATTCAGCCAGTCATCGAGAAGCTGAGAGCACATGATAATGCCACGCTCGACAGGTACAGAACACCAGTTCAAATGGTGCTCCTCTCCACCTAACAATCAGTAAATGCATCATACTGTTGCTTCTAATAGAAAGGCTGTGTTTGTTTGTTTCAGACATCTGGACTTTTTTGAGATGGTGCGGAATGAGGATGAGTTAGAACTGGCCAAATGCTTTGACACTGTAAGATCTTTTACCTATTTGCACATGCCTTTTTTCATATCATGTCCTTAAATTTACAGAGCATTTATTATATACAGAACAGCTTGGTATTATTAGATTTGTTTATAAGGCTCCTGGCTTCATGTGTGTCCTAACTGGAAAAAAATGAATGAACTTTTTTTGTCCAGACACACGTGGACACCAAGAGTGCTGGACAGATGTTTGAGCTGATCAAGAAGAAACTGAGCAACACAGATGCCTACCCCCACCTTCTATCTATCTTAAAGCACTGCCTCCAAATGCCATGTGAGGATTTGAACTCTTCCATTTGACCCATTCAAAATATACCTTTTAATTTTTGGAATAATTTGTGTTTGGAATTCTCTTTGTGCTTGGGGCATGCCTGTGATGCCTTGAAAATTGAAATGCTTTCTTTGTAGGCAGCTTACTAAGTTTGGAACAGTGCCTACTATATATGTTTGTGTTTTGTATCATTTGCTTTGTATTTAATTATAACCATCCCTGCATTTCCCAGCTAATGAAGTGATGGTATCACATTGTAAAACTGTATTACTTTTATAGATGCGTGGGACTAAGGAATTCTCATATTCATATGATATGTACATGCTCCAAGAATACCATTTAAATATCATGTTACATGTCCAGAAAAGCATGGCATTACCATGACATCATATCCCAAAAAAGGCTTGTTTATGACTTTGTAAAATGTTTTCAGATAAACGTGGTGCAGGCAGTATACAGCAATGGCAACTTTTAGACCGCATCCTTCAGCAAATTGTTCTACAAGATGAGAAGGGAGAAAATCCAGATGTTTCACCCCTGGACAATTTCAACGTTAAGAACATCATTAGAATGTAAGTGCCCAACTCAAAACACACTGTGCACATGATTTTAACCATCAAATGTTCAAATAATAATACTGCTCATGAAAAGTTAACTTTATTAGAGTAGAGTAATATTTTTAAGCCAAAAGGCAATGATAAAGTCCTGGATTATCTTTAGTTCTTTTAAAGATCAAAGCTCACTGCCCGCTGTAGGGATTCTAAAATGTTTTGTACTCATTGAATCACAAAGCCAGTGGCGTGCACTGGTGGGGAGCCGGGGGGTTCGAGCCCCTGCCCCTTTCAGGTCCGACGCTAAAGTGCCCTTGCAGTCCAGTCTGCCACCGGTCCGCGATTTCTGCCGAGGGTAGGGGTGTGTGATATGAAGATTTTTGATCGTGGACTATAAAAATGTCTCCACGTTCTGCTTTTGAAGAAATATCGTTGTATCGTGCTACAGCGCATATTCTATCAGCTGCCGTTCTGGTGCCGCCGAATCAATATACTGTACAACGCGACATACATTAACATCAGTGTTAACTCAGCGGTAGAGTTACTATTGCACTTATTCACAATCACAAAAGTAATTTTTTTGCATCTGCTTTAAAGCCTTGTTAAAATTTCATTCGTGTGCTGTTCTGACAGGCGTTTTTCTGAGCACACCCAAAGCGTGCACACGAAAACGAAAAAGCCCGTCAAACAGTGCCTGATTACTGAACTAAGTTATGTTTTGTGCTAATACTGTCAAAACACACACGGTTTATGTATAGACTCAGTTGGTTATGTCTAAAATGAAAGTAAACAACGGATGTGTGCCTGTATATTAGATGCGTGCATGTCTTAAAGGGACAGTACTGAACATGCTGCCGACTGTAATTAAAGGGATAGTTCACTCTAAAACTTAATTTCTGTCATTATTTATTCACTCACATGTTGTCCCAAACCTATATTAATTTATTTCTTGTGCTGAACACAAAAGAAGATATTTTGAAGAATCCGGGTAACCAAACAGTTGCTGGTCCACACTGACTTTGATAGTAGGAAAAAAAATACTAGGGCAAATACCAGCAACTGTTTGGTTTTCCAGCTTCTTCAAAATAGCGTTTATGTTTAGCAGAAGAAGGAAACTCATTCAGGTTTAAACCAACTTTTGAGTGAGTAAATGAAGGTATAAAAATAAAACACTAGCCTATTTTAATTTTGGGGTGAATTATTCCTTTAATGTTAATAAAACACCAAACACAAAGAGAAAAATCATTCAATACTCTTGACTGAAAAACTTTAATATAGTTGCTTTAATAGGAATCAGTGTATTTAGTGTTTTATTTTTATATTTGTTCATAATTTTTTTTTGAATGCTCCTGCTAAATACACCTATTGTAGCCTACCTGAAAATAAAACACTATTTTATTTGTATATTATGTGTATTTGTAATGTGAATCTTTGTTCTCATTTTTTAATAACAAAGATAAAATAATGACAAAGATTTTTTTATCTTCACCCACTTTGGCCTAAATATCCGCCATACTTGTTCATATTTTGTTACCTTGAAAGGCTTTGTCTTTATAATAGGGAAATTAGTTTGGCTGTAATGCTCAAACAGCTTGCAAAATAGAAAAACCAACATGACAAAGAATCGTGATAAAATCGTGAATCGTGATAGTTCTGCCATATCGCCCACCCCTAGCCGAGGAGGAACAAACCCATACAACCATGCTTTCTCTGCATGTTTTCTCCTTTCTTAGTATCTCTTTGTCCTCACATTTGCTGGTTATCAATTTACTTGCCTCACATTTTCACATCTCTTATTTATTTGCTTTTTGTATTCCTTGTCCCGCTTCCATCTACACACAGTCCAGATAAACGTTTATGGACATCCATGTGCTCTATTTCCACCAGTGTGCCACCACCAGAAGATGTTTAAGGTGGCATTGGAATGTGTAAGCACAGGGAACCTGCTACTAGCAAATCTGCTCATGCTTACCCATAATGTTTAACTCTTTCCAGTTGCAAAAAAATTACCTTAGTGAAACAGAGCTGTAATATACTGGTTGCATTTAAGACATCTTGGGCAATTATGTTTCGTTAACCAGTTTAGGAGCAAGTTGTCCAAACGAACAGATAAAATAATGGAATTTTTATTTCCAGTGTTGGATGGTAGCAAGCAATTTATTGTTTTACCCCAATAATGTCAGTCTGCCTACAAACGAATCAAACTTGGTTTTTGAAATAAAAAGTATTTTTAAATATAGTGCAATAAATCCTCTACAGTATGTTAACAGCTTGAGTGGAAACTGCATCTTTATCCTCTTTTCCTGTGTTCTTATTATTCATATATATATTTCATTGTATTCTCCAGTGCTGGCAGTAAATATTACTGTATCTGTATTTCATTTCCCTCTTTCTGCAGCTATGGAAAGCAACGCATGTCAAGGTGTCACTTTAGATTTCTTTACTAGATCCTCCCTTAAACCTCAAACAGTGTCCACTTACAAAACGATTCACAACCAGACTAAACTAACACCTTTTATTAAAAAAAAGTTATAAATATGTTAAGGAAATCTTCCCCAACTTAATGTCATTGCTTTGGTTTAACAGTGCCCCCTTTGGTTTAAAGACCCCATGAATTGGCTTGATGACCAGTTTTCTTTTGTATGTTGCGTCTGTTTCACAGCCAGACTACAAACCACATAGCAAACCCATACTTGACAGCTTGTACCATGGATGTGACCAATGAAGGCTACTTCAAAATGAATAAGTTCTACCCATTTGCCATTTGTAATCAGTTGATGTTTTCGAAAATAAACTGATGAGCCATAATTTGGCACTTATTATTACTAGTTGAAAAAAGGTAGTATTTATAATTAAGAGGGACATTCTGGAGAGTATTTTATTGGACAAAAATGATATACACCTCTGTGGACAAGAAGATTCATAAATCTGTTTGGTCTCATAAAAGCTAACATTCTAAAAAGGACATTTTCATGGTGTCTTTAATGTTGGTTTTTGGTAACAGTTGACAAATAACAAACAGTAATATAAATAGATAATGACTGAGGTAAGTGTAGAAAAAAGGGCAAAATTAATTTGATAACCCTGTGCAGTTGAGCTCAACTTAATGAGACTTCATTCTGTCTACAGGCTTGTCAATGAGAATGAAGTCAAACAGTGGCGAGATCAAGCAGAAAAGTTCAGAAAAGGTAAGAGTGCACACTGACTTGCATAGCTGAGCCTGGGTGACCTTATGTAATGATAATGCACATGTGTTTTTTAGAGCATGTAGAGCTGATGGCTCGGCTGGAAAGGAAAGAAAGAGAGTGTGAGACCAAGACACAAGAGAAGGATGATATGATGAAGACACTCAACAAGATGAAGGACAAACTGCAGAAAGAAGGAGTGGAGTTGCGCTCTGCCAGGGAGCATGTATTAGACCTGTCCTCCCACATTAGCAACATTTCAGTGAGTTCACCATCTGTTCATTTCTAGTTTGCTGTAGTTTTATGATTTACTTTGATCTCAGAAAGTAGAACAATTGCACAATAATATTAGAACTTCTATGTTGATGTTTTTATTGTGTTGTTTAGTAAGAGATGCTTGAGGAGAAGCTGTTTTGGTTAAGCATGAGTTATATGTGATGGTTTATACATTGCAGAAACTTTGTCTAACATATTTTATGCAAATTATTTGATCTTTTTCACTTTAAGAATGGTGGAGTTCATTTACACATTCCCCCTCCGCTTCCTGGGAGCCCGATGGCTCCGCCTCCACCACCTATGATGATGGATAACTTCCCTCCTCCTCCTCCACCTATTGCTTTTTCCAGCCCACACCCACCACCTCCTCCACCTCCCCCGGGGGGTCCTCCAGCCCCACCTGGGGCCCCGCCCATCTTTTCTGGGATTCCACCTCCACCTGGATCTGCTTCCATTAGCTCCACAACCAGCCTACGCACAAAGAGCATCCCACAACCTTCACAACCACTAAAATCCTTTAACTGGTCCAAACTGGGAGAGGTGAGTCAGTTTTTATTTTAATTTATTTATTTGGTGGTACTTGCGGTATTAAAATTCCTCATAGTTAATGCAAAGTTATACTTTCTGAGATTAGGTCATTTATTTTTTTATTTTCTGAGACTAACCCTTAATTGCAGTCATCTTTCCTGATTTCCCGATTTTTAGAACAAGATCACTGGTACGATCTGGTATGAGATTGATGACAGAAGGACCTTTAAAATTCTTGACCTAAAGGACATTGAGAAGATGTTTTCAGCTTACCAGAGGCAGCAAGTATGCAAATGTGGCACACAAGAGTTACATCTCAGCTGTGCTTAAATACCAAACAAATAATTTTCGCATTCAATATTAGATATTTCTAAAATAACTTCTGCAATGATGTTCTGAAATAACAGCTGTACTGATATTCTTATTTATGTTTGTGAAATGTGTGTGTGTGGGGTGGGGGGACTGAATACACACCAACTCTAAATTGAGGTCCCCATGGGTAAACACACTTATAAATCATGCAGAATGATTATTTTAAGAATGTAAAAATGTAGAAAGTTTTCTGTGATGGGTAGGTTTAGGTGTAGGGTTGGTGTAGAATGATAGAATATATGGTTTGTACAGTATAAAAACCATTATGCTTATGGACAGTCCCCACAAGGATTGTAAACCATGTGTGTGTGTGTGTGTGTGTGTGTGTGCCTACTTAACCATATTTTGGGGACAAATATGTACCCAAAAGTGAGCAAAACCTGACAAAATCGCCAAAAACCTCAATTTGGGGACGTCCTCATTTGTAAAACTGGTATAAAAATAAAGTAAACAAAGTTTTTTTGAAATTGTAAAAATGCAGAAAGTTTTCTGTGAGGGGTAGGAGTAGGGGTGGGGTTAGGTTAAAAAATTTATAACTATCTGTATATAAAAACAATATAAGTCTATGTAATGTCCCCATTTAGATAGCTACTGTAAGTTAACGTGTCTGTGTGTGTGTGTGCGTGAGAGAGAAAGAGGGAGAGAGAGTATTTGGAACCTCGGGCATTACAGCAGTGGCTAAAGCAACTATTCTTTGCTAAATGGCTTGTAATAGATGCGTCTGTGCTTTAAGCATGAAGTAGTATGTTAGTGCATTTAGAGCAGAAATGCTGCAGATATGCTCTCAGGCCCAATGTCAACAAAAGTCAGAAAGCAAGCGATTCTGGGGCCTGTGAGAATGTTTGCTGTAGTCAGCTCTGGCTGAGTCTTCTGCTGTAGTTCTGCCGCTTGAGTTGTTAATTTCTGCATGTCTTCCAATGTTTCTTGTTTTTTTTTCTCTGCTGCTGTACCACTGACTGGCCAGGAGCTGCTCACTAACCAATCATTCAAGCAGGTGAGTGATTGGTCCAATTAAAGCTACTTTACTGCCAGAACGGGGTCAGAAATGAACGTTTCTATTAAGCAGCAATATTTGCTATGTTGTATCTGTGTTGTCTTTTATGTAAAATGCTTAAATTTGACTAATTCAATCAATCAGAATACTACAGACTCTTACCAATACAATTTTATTAACATCAACAAAAACCCATACATGCAATGGTGGAACAAAAACTGTAAAAATAAATCTAAACCTGTCATTTAGATTTATTGACACAGACTGTTAATTCTTCTCAAAGCTGAGTACATGTATTTACAAAATTACATAATCTAATAGCCTACATGAAGTATATACAGGTGCATCTCAATAAATTAGAATGTCATGGAAAAGTTCATTTATTTCGGTAATTAAACTCAAATTGTGAAACTCGTGTATTAAATAAATTCAATGCACACAGACTGAAGTAGTTTAAGTCTTTGGTTCTTTTAATTGTGATGATTTTGGCTCACATTTAACAAAAACCCACCAATTCACTATCTCAACAAATTAGAATGAATGAAAAGTGAATTGTTGGCCTTCTGGAAAGTATGTTAATTTACTGTACATGTACTCAATACTTGGTAGGGGCTCCTTTTGCTTTAATTACTGCCTCAATTCGGCGTGGCATGGAGGTGATCAGTTTGTGGCACTGCTGAGGTGGTATGGAAGCCCAGGTTTCTTTGACAGTGGCCTTCAGCTCATCTGCATTTTTTTTGGTCTCTTGTTTCTCATTTTCCTCTTGACAATACCCCATAGATTCTCTATGGGGTTCAGGTCTGGTGAGCTTGCTGGCCAGTCAAGCACACCAACACCATGGTCATTTAACCAACTTTTGGTGCTTTTGGCAGTGTGGGCAGGTGCCAAATCCTGCTAGGAAATTAAATCAGCATCTTCAAAATGCTGGTCAGCAGAATGAAGCATGAAGTGCTCCAAAATTTCTTCCACACTTTTTCCTTCCACTCAACTTTCTGTTAACATGCTTGGATACAGCACTCTGTGAACAGCCAGCTTCTTTGGCAATGAATGTTTGTGGCTTACCCTCCTTGTGAAGGGTGTCAGTGATTGTCTTCTGGACAACTGTCAGATCAGCAGTCTTCCCCATGATTGTGTAGCCTAGTGAACCAAACTGAGAGACCATTTTGAAGGCTCAGGAAACGTTTTGAATTGATTAGCTGATTGGCATGTCACCAATTTGTTGAGAGTGTGGATTGGTGGTTTTTTGTTAAATGTGAGCCAAAATCATCACAATTAAAAGAACCAATGATTTAAACTACTTCAGTCGGTGTGCATTGAATTTCTTTAATACACAAGTTTCACAATTTGAGTTGAATTACTGAAATAATTGAACTTTTTCACGACATTCTAATTTATTGAGATGCACTGTAAGCTGTAAAAAAAAAAAAAACTAATTACAGGGTTGGACTGCAATATGACAAACTCACTATTGTCAAATATTGTTCTTGATATTGTAATAATTATTTTTAATGCTGATTAATAGAATTAATAAAAATGTTTCTGTGTTTAAGGAAACTGTCCTGTTATGGCTACACAGTCATAACAAGCATGGAACCATTTGTGAATTAGTTTATTGCTTTTTACACAGCAGAATATTAAGACTTCACATTGGATATTTTAATAGCATGATAAACAGAATGGTTATTCAAACTGGGAATAAATTATATACAGAAATTTAAGCATATAAAGAATGATCACTGAAGTGTTTAATGACAGTCTAGTGCAAGTTATGCAGACTTGCAGAAACTCCTGTTACAATCACTGAAGCTGTTTACACTGCACAGTGAATCTCTGTTACTAATGTAATATCTGAACTTTTTTGTTTATGATGAGAGAATTCAAGAGAGTGGAGAATTCAGCCTCAGATTGGCCAATGCATTTACAAGCCAACAGAAATGTGTGGGATTGACTATAATGTAAAAAAACATTAAAAAAAAATCATTTTCAATTTTTGACCCCTTGTCTTGAATTTGGGGGGCATTTTTGTACAATTTGGTTGCATTTTTGCCCCAAGCCCCAGGCAATTACCAACCCTACATTCACCGTCTTATTACATGCTGTCTATTACAGCTATTTTGGCCACTGTAACCAAAGGAAATCTGAATTAATGTGACAGGTGATGGAAAAGTCTGAACTAAAATCTTAAAAGAATAGTTAATCCACACTTGAAAATTCTGTCATAGTTTTCTCACCCACATGTTGTTCTCTAGGTGACTTGTGTCTTTGACAAAACAAAATGAGATGTTAGGGAGAATGTTATATAGCTAATTTCCGTACAATTATGATGAATGGAATCTGGTACTGTCAATATCCAAAAATGACAAAGAAGCACTGTAAAAGTATGTTTGCTTATATTCAGTTATGACATATTAGGTAGGATTAGGATATAGTGATACCTTATTAGTCTTGACAGCCCCTGATCACGGTATAATTTCGATGTATGGAAAGGAGCAAGTTTGGAGCAGCATGGGGTTAAAATGACAATGGAATTTAAATTTTTGAGGGAACTGTTCCTTTAAGTATTTTAGAGATCTAGTTTTCACATCCAGCCTCATCTTGCAGTAGTATAATTATCTTTCTTCTCAAATGCCTGGAGTGAATAATTGGTGTGTTTATTTATTTATTTTTTAAATGGCTAAACTACTGTGATAGAACAGTAATTGGCTGAATAACTGTAATTATCACTAATGTGTCTACTTACTGAATTAATTACTGAACATTAATACACAGATGACTAAAATGTAGATGAGGCATGTTGTGGAAAGTAACGACCTTTCACCTGTCCCGCATTCTTCATGTTACTGCTCAGAGAGAGCTGCAGGGGTGTGTAAGAAGTGTGCTTTCTTTGGACCAATGTGGAGTTACATGACCCATGTAACCTCATCGAACATTCACAGCACAGGAAACGGTCCGGACCTATAAATAGACGACTGTTCTCGGTGAAACAGTCAAGCTTCTTTTAAGCATCTTTGGTGTTTCAGCTGCATGATTATTTTTGACACGCTGTTCTGAATACTGGCCTTTTGAGAGACATATAGAAAGTTAGGAATATTTTGTATGTTTTATTTTTACTGATTCATTCAGATTAGAAAAACTGGTTTGAAAGACAAAAAAATAGTTCATTGTTTATTCAAAACAGCAATGAAATCATTGTCCTAAGCTTTGGTTGATTCATAAATAAAATGTCAACCTTTGCCTAAATACAAGCCAAAGCACAATCCCACATTATAAGTTACTTTTTGCTATCTGTAAATTAAAAATTGTCATTCAAAAATACTTCATAATACTCATTCATTATTGTAATTATAACGAAAACGAATCCAAACCATTTTCTCCTTTTCTGCAGAAAGAAACAGGATCAATGGATGACCTTTATCTGAGCTCACGCAAAGTCAAAGAGCTGTCTGTTATTGATGGACGGAGGGCCCAAAACTGTGTCATCCTGCTTTCCAAGTATGTACTTGTCCTGAGTCAGCATTGATGTATAAAGTCAACCTATCAGTTATTCCGGAAAACTGATGCTACGCTTCTAATGAAGCCCAAAATGTAAAAATTTGTGAAAAAATATTTTTAAAATGGTTGGCTAATTATGTAATACCTGGTCACAACTTTTTTTAGTCACATAAAAATAATCTGAATCTGAAAGGAGAGACAGATCAGGTGTTTCTACTTTCTTAATAACATGTTAAATATGCCAAAGCACAATCCCACATTATAAGTTACTTTTTGCTATCTGTAAATTAAAAATTGTCATTCAAAAATACTTCATAATACTCATTCATTATTGTAATTATAACGAAAACGAATCCAAACCATTTTCTCCTTTTCTGCAGAAAGAAACAGGATCAATGGATGACCTTTATCTGAGCTCACGCAAAGTCAAAGAGCTGTCTGTTATTGATGGACGGAGGGCCCAAAACTGTGTCATCCTGCTTTCCAAGTATGTACTTGTCCTGAGTCAGCATTGATGTATAAAGTCAACCTATCAGTTATTCCGGAAAACTGATGCTACGCTTCTAATGAAGCCCAAAATGTAAAAATTTGTGAAAAAATATTTTTTAAATGGTTGGCTAATTATGTAATACCTGGTCACAACTTTTTTTAGTCACATAAAAATAATCTGAATCTGAAAGGAGAGACAGATCAGGTGTTTCTACTTTCTTAATAACATGTTAAATATTAACATTTTACATAATTAACAAAAAACATTTCTGTCCATATAGGTTAAAAATGAGCAATGAAGAGATAAAGAGAGCCATTCTGGAGATGGATGAGAGGGAGGAGCTGGCTAAAGACATGTTAGAGCAGGTGAGGGCTATCCAATGGTTTCATCAAGAAATATATAACTACAATGTTTTTAATTAGTACTTTTATTATATACGAGTAAACACTCTCTATGGGTACATGTATTCACAGCTGCTGAAGTTTGTTCCTGAGAAAAGTGATATTGACCTTCTGGAGGAACACAAACATGAGCTTGAGCGTATGGCCCGGGCTGACCGCTTCCTGTTTGAGATGAGCAGGTACTGCGAAATAATTGAATCTTAGATTAAATGCATTTGATAAATGAGCACAATTATTTATGACTTCAGAAATAATTAAAAAATCTACTTTGGATGAGTGAAGAATAATACTATTGAAAGTTCTTGATCAGAAGATTTAATACTAAATTGCGTTAATTACACAACAGGCAACAAACCAGGATTGGCAGTCATTTACATTTCTTCAGCATATTTTACCTCCAAAGAAACAGGACTCTGCAAAAATCTGTGGTATCTAGAAATCCCAAAGTCACCATTTATCATGAGGCCAGAAACGTACTTTACGCAAGAGCATGAATGCAGCCATCTTTGACAAGCATGCATACTTGCATAAATCTACATTTTATAAAGCAACAATGCACAGAGTCATACTTGCATATCTAATAGCTAATAACCAAACAAAAGTACTTGCACTGGCTAAGCACCCACAGCTATGTCTGCATACTTTGTAAAATACGTTTTTCACAGAAGAAAATGCTGAGTAATGTAAGATAACTACTTGTAATTAATATGGTTAGAAATAATGTTAGGTTGAAGGTTTTGGTTCAAGGTCTGTATATAGTTATTTTAGTAAGTACATACAAGTAAAATAAACTTGGGGGGGGGGGTATAACTAATATGTCTTTATGTCCATTTTGGGAGGAAATGTGGCATTTTGTAAGATTCAACCCAGTGACTAAAACTGAATAATTTTGACTTTTTTTCTCTATCAGAATCGACCACTATCAACAGAGGATCCAGTCTCTTTTCTTCAAAAAGAAGTTTGCAGAGCGCCTAGCAGAAATAAAACCAAAGGTTGAAGGTTGGTAGGTTTAGAAGGAATGTTACTGGAGGTGTTTCTTTGCAAATTAACACAGGCTCATATTGAAGTGATAGAGGCCAGAAACGGCTGTATAAATGTGATTTGGAAGAAGTGGATATTAGAGCATGAGTCAGGTATGTTTGTGAGTGTGTGTGGCTTTTATACTTGAATTCATCTCCAGTTCAAATAAAGAACAGAGTTTCCACGGAGGCTGTTTTGGAAAGCTGGCACATGTTGAGAGGGGAGAGTCGTTCTCATAAACGCTGCTTTTTTCTTCAGAGTTTCAAGCTTTTTTACAAGAAAGAGTCATGGCATGCATGTTCTTGCATAGTACTTCAGATAACCATAAGCCTGCCCAAATTCTGGTTAAAGACCTGTCCCTGCACATTAATGATGATCTTAGCTACCCTTTAAGGGACAGATCAACTAAAAACAAACATACAGTAGTCATCATTTGATCTACCTAATGTCATAAAAAAAGATTTCCTTTCCTCTGTGAAACACAGGAGATGCTTTGAAGATTGTTCATGCTGCTCTTTTCCATAATGTGATACATAGCCATACATTAGCTTTGTGTGAAAAACAGACTGGAATTGAAATAGCTGAAAAGATCACTAACACCTTGCATATCCTCAAATTTCTCAGTACATACACTGATCTCTAATATTGACTAATTACAAATTTACACAACCTAAGGTGAAAAACAATTACAAAGGTAAACATTAAGGGTGCTAATATGACATAGTTTCCCTAATTTGACAATGCCATGTCATGTCTACAGTTATAAGTCCAAGCACAAGGAGTAAGACGCTAAGTTGATAGCAGTGTCTAATTAAGCTTTATTGAGCAGAAAGAATGGGTGCCATCAACACAGACAAAACAAATGAAGGACTTCTCTGGCCCACCCTTGCACATTAAATCGTGTCAACAGGAAGGCATTTTAAATGTTTTAACATCGAGGCAAAGGAAGTCTAACTTTGGCTAAGACCCTTCGGGAAAACGCTTTTTGTGGGAAACTGGCAGCTGTAAAATTGTGGACAGGCATCAAAGTTGCACACTCTTTCTTGTTCCCGCTGGAGCGACTGCAGTACTGTGGCTCTATGATGGGAACTGAGGCAAAACTGGAGTTAAGACTAGTTCACCCCACTCACAAAAACAAAAAAGTGAGGATAAACATCAGTTTAGTACCAGTATTATTTAGTAATTTGGACTTTTTGGAAAACATAGGGTTTTACACTGGGCTGTGTAATTCATTTGTGTAAACTGGAACTGGGAGAAAAGATTATTTAAAAAAATAATAATTTTATTTGTTTGCTCATTCATGCTGACATTACTGTGGGTACTGATCTTGTATAGTGAATCGTGTTGATCATGAAATGATTACAATTGCCTTTTGGTCCCTCATACAGAATAATTTGGTTTCGATATGTTATCCTCTGGCAAACTTCTTTTTACCATTTTTCAGTTGATCAGAAATGAGCTTATGACTGGGCCCAGGCAGAATCTGCTGCCTTTTCCCACATTTTCTGCACATTCTGTGCAATGGAATTACGTGTGGTAAAAAACAAAGCTGAGGGTACTACACTCTTATTGGTAGCTAAAAGCACAATCAAATTAGCCAATATATATATATATATATATATATAGATATAAAAGCTTTGGTGAATTCTGCATAAATCTGCTGAGCCTGTTTATGACCTAACTTATGAATATTTAATCCAGAAATGATAAACACTTAATATTCAACAAATTCCAGTTAAGTCTGTGAAAGAAGTTCATGTTGTCCATATTACCTGATAATAAATATGTCAGTATTATATAGACATCATGGAGGCTACAGTAATATCTTTGATATCTTTTCTTCTATCTTTAGCTATTCTGTGTGCGTCTCGTGAGGTGATGAGAAGTAAGCACCTGACACAGGTTCTGGAAGTGGTTTTGGCATTCGGGAACTTCATGAACAAAGGACAGAGGGGCAACGCATATGGTTTCAAAGTGTCCAGCCTCAACAAGATCATAGACACCAAGTCAAGTATAGACAGGTCAGAGGTCAATGAAGAGGTTTTTAGCTTGTTCATCTGAATGCATATCTAATGTCACTGTTTTCAGTCAATGCATCTATTAGACTTTCCACTGCTACCATTGAGATGTTAAATGCAATTTACAGAATTGGTGTAATCAGTCAACTTTATTTATTATTAGTAAATTCTAGTTGTCACTTAAAAATGTTCACATAAGGCATTGTTTTTTTTCTTTTTTTCTTCTAATAAAATAATTGCAGTTCTGTTTCCACAAGTTTATTAGCATAAATTGCATCAGATCTCTTAAAAATTCAAAGCATCCATTCAGTGTTTAAAAAAAGGATTTGTTGATGAATGATATTGAGTTTACATTATGGTATGACAATCACTAAATGTGGTTAATAACACTGGTAAATCTGTTTTTCATTTCTTTGCTTTAAACTTGAAATAAATTAATAATTCTTTATGCATTTTCTACAGGAACATCACCATGTTGCATTACCTGATCATGATCTTTGAGAAAAATTACCCTGACATCCTAAATATTCAACAGGACTTGGCCTCTATACCAGAAGCTGCCAAAGTCAAGTGAGCCACGCACTGCATTCTGTTGAGCATAAATATAGTATGTACTATTGTTTTTGATAGGCCTAGGCTGTTTTGTATCTCAGTTGTCTTATTTTTACTCTCACAGTCTGGCTGAGCTGGAGAAGGAAGTGTTCATCATTAGGAGCGGCCTGAAAGCTCTGGAGGCGGTGAGTCATTCATCATTTATTTCTTCAACTTAAAGCGTTCTCATCAGAGGTACCCTGAAACATTACTGACATACCCCTTTATTATATATATATTTAATTTTTTTTTTAAAAAATGTTTCACTGTTGCAACACTCTTTGACAGCAGTTTGTCAGCTACTTATTTTTTCTGTTAGTAAAGAAGCTTTATACAAACAACTTTTGTGGATAATGGGTGAATATAGTTCACCCACAAATTTACTTATGTTTGGACACTTGCGATAAATATAGTTGCATTCAGTGAAACCTCCAAAATCATTGCATTATAATAAATGTTTGGCATGATAACAGTACACTTTTTGGTCTTTGTCACACTAGTCCTAAAAAACAGTGAAAAATAGGAATATAAAAGAGTATAGGAATATAAAGAATATAAAATTCAAATTTTTAAATTCTATTCAATTCTAATTTCAAAACCTTACAGTTCCTACAACTTCCTAGAAAGTTTATCAGTAAAAAACAAAAAAAACAAACAAAAAAAACACCTGTAGTCAGATTTAATTAGGAGCAACAAAAAAGGATAAATTCCGATTGAATCAAAATTGTATTGTTTACATCAGGAGTTACGATACCAGCAGAGCCGAGCATGTGACTGGGGAGACAAGTTTGTCCCAGTGGTCAGTGACTTCATCACAGTTGCTAGCTTCAGCTTCTCTGAACTTGAGGAACTACTCACTGAAGCCAAAGATAAGGTAACATCTTCACTTAATTATTCAGTCACAATAATCAATCTTACTTTTTAACCTCCATCCTTAAATACCCAACCTAATAAAGCTATTGGCACATTCATTTTCATTCCACATTCCAAAAGAAAGGTTTTATTTTAGCTAGATAAAATCGCACAATGGTTCTTTGGCAGCGAGAGAGAAAACAAGAGGCCTGGCTCAGTGCCTAGGGCTGAAAATGTTTTCTCCAATATGACCTTAGAGTTATTGTTAAGGGTAGAACAGGGTCTTTGAGTGGGTCACAGTAGAGGGTTGTAGAGTGGAGCTGGGCTTTTATAGAGAATCATGGAAGGATAGGCCCTTTCTGGAGGAGCCCAGCAGGCCTTCCCGTCCCCCCTTGTTTATCGCTTTGAGCTCTGCCAACCCTGTGCATGGGCCGGAGCCTGACATCTTAGAAGGAAGAAGGAATAGGGAGTGAGTGAGAAAGAACGAAAAAGACAGAGAAAAGAGAGGGCTTTGTGTACCCTTCCTGGCTCGGCATGATGACTTAAACATCCCGAGGAATCCCGGCAGCCGATCCTAAATTTCTCAGGGTTTTTACTCAAGGGTTTGAGGAGATTTATTTCTTTTGAAATGTGGCTTGGTCTCAACTCCACCCCCGCTGTGGTATGTCCCCAACTCTCAAATACATGAGAGAACCATTCTGAAAGCCATAGGGAATACATTTGGGATTTGTCCATGTGTGTTTGTGAGTGTGTTAGTGGGCTTTTCTGTGGTGGTGGAAAGTGTGTGTAGGGATATGTTTTGGTCACTGGGTGGACTGACAGAATCTTTATCCGAGCTCCAGTCCCCAGAACAGAACCGTCAATTTAACCCAGTCCACTGTTATCCAAATTATTTACTTAGTAAAGCCATAAAAGTTCGGAGAGACTTCACAAGTAATGGCTGACCTTGAAGCTCTGAGTTATTTGGACACAAAGGTCTTCCTGTGCTTTCCAGACAGATCTACCTCTTCCTGCTGTCCTCGATGGGTCAGAATTCCATCTCCTGTAAGTGATTCTGTAGTCTGAGGTGGGCCAAAATGAACACAAACATTATGGCTGAGAACAATGGTAGAGTATTGTCAACACTGAGATGTTGAAGAGACAGATCTCTCTGATGGCTTGTACAGTAGTTGTTGGGGCACTCACAACCTAAAGGTTGAGATTTTAATTTGAGATTTTAAGATTCTTTCCATAGTCGCAGGACTGCATATGCCCTCAAAATGGGAGATCTATGAAAATCTAAAGCTCAGTGCTGGAAAGCAGAATTATTGTTTCAGTTTCACAATAAAAAAAGAACGGTTTTGACTTCACATGGAATAGTGTCTCTTATGAGATAATTAGCTGCTCCATTGAACTGAGACAAAAAACTTGGCCAGAATCACAATGATAGAGATGCCAGTTAGAATTGAGACAAATTAGTTCCCCATGGCAAATCTACTGTGGGTGAAGACCCAGTATATACTCTCTTGGCAGACAGACCTTCAAATGGCTTTTGGAGCAAAGACCTTTGGCACCTTGGTATGCCAAACCACAGTAAAAGTGGATGCACTTTTTGCGTATGTACATTTAGTTTGCCACAAACGTTCAGCCACAGCATCTGTCTACAATTTGATTATGTAGTTCCAGCAGTCCATTTTTAAGTAGAGATCAAAACATCTTTGAAATATTTGTTCCAAAACAAAACAAAGACCCCTAATGACTACCATATCGGTTCTGAAAGATTATTGCAAGCTTACTTCCCAAGTGATGGGTTTGTGATTTCTGGGCTTTCACAGTGAACAGGATTCATATTTCTGTCCATAGGGCATATGGTCATCAAACCCGGCATGACCTATTACATTATCACTCTCCTCTCTTTCCTCTTCAATCCAGTTTTCTAAGTCTCTGAAGCATTTTGGAGAAGAGGAAGGTTGCATGCAACCGGATGAGTTTTTTGGAATATTTGACATCTTCCTGCAGTCGTTCAGCGAGGCCCGACACGACCTGGAGAACATGCAGCGACGCAAAGAGGAGGAAGAGAGGAGAATGCGCATGGAGGCCATGGTACATCTTTTCCTAAAACAGAAATGCACACAGAACACACACAGATGCTTACAGGATCCACCAATAATGTTACACTTTTGAATAATTTCACACTTGCTTGGAGGTTGTTCTGTCTTTGTGGTCTCTATTCATTAATGTATCAATTATCTGTTAACCAGAATTTACATAAATTATTCTTTTAATTTACACCTTGTGATGGACCTGCTGTCACTTCCAGTAGTTTCCATTCCTTCATCTTTGGAAAACATTTATTTTTCAGATCCTTCACGACATTGTCTCTCGATTTCTAACATCCTCAACTCAGAACCTTGTTAAAAATCTACTCATTCTTAATGCTGGGGTCCTTTTAAAGGCTGTGCAGACACTCCAACAGGCTGTCTAAACTGGATGTGTCAAAGCCAGTGTTCAAAACAAAAATTTAATTTTTGTAATGTTTACATGTAAATGTACACTCGATGCATTATCTAATAAATCATAATTATCAGGAGAAGAAAATGCACAGCTTTGTCACTTTGCCATGTACATGAAGTTAATGCATTTCAACAAACAAATTCTCACTTGTGCTGTATATCTTATGTTGAGGTTTGAGGGACCTTGAGGGAAAACATTCCATAAGTGAAGTTGACAGGTCTTGGAGTAATTTGTAGCACGACTCCAAATGCACTGGGGTCACTGTAATCACTCATGAGACCATGAATCACCTCAAAACAGCTCTGCTAGGGCCCTTCTGCATTGTGATGCTGTTATTGTAGGACATTTTCAAGATTGACCTCTATTAAATGTTTAGTTGGACTTAAAGCTACTTCAAATCATTTTTTACATTGGACAGAGGAAATAATAATATCATATGTGTTTATATAGGCTATACTAAAAAGACTATGATGCTGCTACTCTGTATTTTCATGGCTATTTTAAATGTACATCTCTGTTCATTTATCTATCCCAGCTGAAGGACCAGCGGGAGCGAGAAAGACGAGCAAAGAAAAGCACCGGAGGCAGTGTGTCAGAGGAGGTGGGGGAGTTTGATGATCTTGTATCGGCGCTTCGCTCAGGTGAAGTCTTCGACAAGGACTCTAAACTTAAACACAACCGCAAGCGCTCTGTCAACCAGCTGGCAGATTGTGGGGGTCGTGAAAGACCAGTCACCAAGGTGAACTATTGACCTCAGTGAATACAGTCAGAAGGAGTTCAGATTTTTATATTTACAGACTGACAGGGAACTCTCTTGAAATGCCATACACTGCCCTCTATTTTCTTTTTTGCTCAGACCAGTAATAACGGACAAGCTCAAAGATGGACAGGCTCACTGTAAGATCGTCTGGTTTATCCACAGATGAGAAGGATGCCCTGCAATCTCTTTCTTCTTGTTTCTGCTTGTTCCTCCTTCTTGATATGTAGTCACTCACACTGATCTCTTACTCTTGTTTATTTGTGGCGAAATGCACAACCTGAGTTTCAGTTTGGAAGAGCTGTTCAGTCTGGTGCTGCGAGGTCTCACAATAAGTCATAAGAGGTAGATATCATCTGAGTCACTTGTAGAATCCATATGGTTATCCTTCTAACCTGCAAAGGTTTTTGTCCTTTCTCTGCCGCCCATTTTCATGCTCTAATTTTAGGAGATTGAGCAATTTGGTACCTCTAATCTTCCGATCCAACTTTGCTTTTGGATTTAAAAGATGCAGCTGGTGCTTCCTAAACCTGAAAATGAAGGAAAAAAATAAAATATTGTTCAGTCCTGGATGTTGGAATTACCACACAGGCAATTATGACACTGTTGATACAGCCTTACAGGTTGGGATACCCCTTCCCCCAAGTGCCTCTATACATTAACGGCATTCCAAGGACTACCTCCTGTACGGAGATACTGATGAGAGAGAAGAGCACTTTCACAAAGACATACAAAGAATATGAAAATACGCTGAGTGTATTTAATTGCAGAAATTAAATGAACCCGTTGGATTGTTATACTTTATAATATTCTCATCTGTCATATACAACTGCACCTTTCATCCATATGACCTGAAGTAGCATTCTAGGAAAGAAGGGACCATGAAATTCTGTTTAAAAAAGCCTTTATCTATGAGCAGGTACTACCATGTGTCTTCATCACTTCTTCAGGTTAACATATTGAACCTTTGGGCCTTGATAATAATATTTAACAAAATAATGTCTTACATATTTTACTATCTAAATGTGTATAAAGAAACGCTAGGTACCCAGGTATGTAAAAAAGTTGTCTCTAGAATCGATTTGTAGAGATCCACTGAATTTTAGACTTTGTTCTCAAGGTCAACATTATGTAACCCACTTTGGTTTTCTTATTTGTTCGTTTTTTTTTTTTTTTTACCTGTATATTAAGTAGCTGTAGTCAGGACAAAGGTTGCAGATGTGCATACAATGACCTTGTAGCTGGCATGGTGTGGCAGAGAAAATGGTGTTAGAGAACACAAGAGGCCTCTGATATGGAAATAGACATATGAAGGCAATGAATGCAAACATTTGAAGGGGAAATGTAGATTCCAGTGAGATGGTGATTATGGATTGACAAAAAATGTATACCCCCTACCCCCACCCTGTAAGAATACTGTTTTCATCACAACATGCAGGTTACATTGCAGCAGTCTGAGGCCTCCTGTGTCCTCTGTCCATATGGGGTCACAGTTGGAGTTCTGTATAAGGTGATTGTGTTTATCTTTTAAGAGATAAAAGTTAAATATGGACACGCATGGTGCTATTTGTCCATTTTTGTGGGTACAGCTCTGCCCCTTCTGACCTTGCTTAAGGAACAAGAAGAGTGTCTGTGAGTGCAGGGCTTGTGGTATATCTATATTTCTTTGAGCCAGTAAGATCATTTATTAACAGTCCAAAAATACACAAGTTTTAAAACTTAGCTTACAAGTGCCATAACAATGGGCCAGTGCAGACATTCTCTCCTTTCTCACCTGTATCAGCTCATGTGTACTTATTTAGATGTTTCAAGATTGAAAGTTGTATATTTATGTTTGTGTACTTATTTTAATACCAAAAATAGTATTTGTAGTCCTATCTGTATTGTCACTTTTTCGTGACTAATGGCTTGAGATTGCTTATTACAAGTTAGTATTTTTGTACAACAGACGGTTCGTTCCAGGTTTGACCTGAAAAGAGCAGAGAGTTTTGTCTGGGACATTTAGAAAAATACAATTATTGGCCACTTAAATCTGAGCATTTGTAATTAGTTTGATTGCATTTCCTAAGGATTCCCCATAGAGGCTCTTATTAGATCGTATGGCAAAGCCCTAGTCTTGAGCTGCTTAATTGGAGATCATGTAGAATTAGGAATGTGGGTTTGCACAATTAACTGTTCTTTGTGCACCAAAATGAATATGACCCAACAGAAGAGAAGATATACACTTTGTTAGACAATTTTATAATAAAACATTCATTAAGTACTAAAAAAAATAATAATAATGCAACTTGCCTCTTGCCAAATTAAATCTGGGGCTATTTATTTTCATTTCCTTTACATCTCTGTCATTCTTGTCATGAGAAGAGTGGTACTGTTAGAAGTTACATTGTTCCACAGAACAACCTTGGTGTTCTGCCTTTTAAGCTTCACAAGAGTATTAAAATATTCAGTGTTATTATTTGTATTTGTTATGTATATCTGGTGATTGATTGTCCAAAACAGAAAGGAAAATATGTAGCTAGTTGCTTAATGCACTTTTTTGTAGGACATACTTTTTCCTGCATCACAAACCAGAGGAGCCAAAGGCTGAAAAAAAAGAAAAGAAAAAAAAAATCTAAGTGTATTTTTTTAGTTAAGGAATCAGGCCTACATAGATTAGATGTACATTTACCCACTAATCTATGTTCCATTGTTTTATAAAACTGTCTTTTCCAGCTCTTTGATTATTGTGGATTGAATATAGATAAGATATGAACTGTAGTTTGAATGGTAAAGAAAACTGATTATCTTTGGTACATTATACAAGATAAATATATAAGACTGCATCTGAAAGCACCATGCCAACTGCCTAAATTCACTTTTATATTTTAGATATTTTGAAATATGTTTTGCCTCCCACTTCTGTTTGGGACTTGATGTTTTCCCTATTGGCTCGAGTGGGGCATAGGAGTGGTTCTCTGATAATATATTGGTGTATTATTATCTGTGACAAGAAAAGCATCACACTTTGAATGTGTTCATGGAATGCTCCACCTATGATTTAGACAGGTTGTATTTGTGCCAAGTGCACCATTTTAAAGGTTGATTTGATAAGGGCCTCACATAATAGATGTATAGTTCTCAAAATATTTTGTACACCATCATAGTCATTTGAAAATAAAAAATAAAAAAAGGTGAAACTGAAGTTTGAGGAATGTGGAATGAGGATTTTTATTTTCCCCCTGTAAATTGAAGCTCTATTTATTTGGCTTAGTTATTTAGCTATATTTTGTATGTATACACAGCACTATGAAAGCATTTGAAGGGGAAATGTAGATTCCAGTGAGATGGTGATTATGGATTGACAAAAAATGTATACCCCCTACCCCCACCCTGTAAGAATACTGTTTTCATCACAACATGCAGGTTACATTGCAGCAGTCTGAGGCCTCCTGTGTCCTCTGTCCATATGGGGTCACAGTTGGAGTTCTGTATAAGGTGATTGTGTTTATCTTTTAAGAGATAAAAGTTAAATATGGACACGCATGGTGCTATTTGTCCATTTTTGTGGGTACAGCTCTGCCCCTTCTGACCTTGCTTAAGGAACAAGAAGAGTGTCTGTGAGTGCAGGGCTTGTGGTATATCTATATTTCTTTGAGCCAGTAAGATCATTTATTAACAGTCCAAAAATACACAAGTTTTAAAACTTAGCTTACAAGTGCCATAACAATGGGCCAGTGCAGACATTCTCTCCTTTCTCACCTGTATCAGCTCATGTGTACTTATTTAGATGTTTCAAGATTGAAAGTTGTATATTTATGTTTGTGTACTTATTTTAATACCAAAAATAGTATTTGTAGTCCTATCTGTATTGTCACTTTTTCGTGACTAATGGCTTGAGATTGCTTATTACAAGTTAGTATTTTTGTACAACAGACGGTTCGTTCCAGGTTTGACCTGAAAAGAGCAGAGAGTTTTGTCTGGGACATTTAGAAAAATACAATTATTGGCCACTTAAATCTGAGCATTTGTAATTAGTTTGATTGCATTTCCTAAGGATTCCCCATAGAGGCTCTTATTAGATCGTATGGCAAAGCCCTAGTCTTGAGCTGCTTAATTGGAGATCATGTAGAATTAGGAATGTGGGTTTGCACAATTAACTGTTCTTTGTGCACCAAAATGAATATGACCCAACAGAAGAGAAGATATACACTTTGTTAGACAATTTTATAATAAAACATTCATTAAGTACTTAATAATAAAATAATAATGCAACTTGCCTCTTGCCAAATTAAATCTGGGGCTATTTATTTTCATTTCCTTTACATCTCTTGTCATGAGACTTCAGTATTATTATTTGTATCTTTTATGTATATTTGGTCATTGATTGTCCAAAACAGAAAGTTAGCTATAGTTACTTGATGCACTTTTTTTGTAGGACAGATTTTTCCTGCATCACAAACCTGAGCAGCCAAAGGCTGAAAATAAAGAAAGAAAATCATATAAGTATATATCATATCAATCATACAAGTATATTTTTTTAGTTAAGAAATCAGGCCTACATAGATTAGGTGCAAGTTAACCAATAATCTGTGTTCCATTGTTTTATAAAACTGTCTTTTCCAGCTCTTTGATTATTGTGGATTGAATATAGATAAGATATGAACTGTAGTTTGAATGGTAAAGAAAACTGATTATCTTTGGTACATTATACAAGATAAATATATAAGACTGCATCTGAAAGCACCATGCCAACTGCCTAAATTCACTTTTATATTTTAGATATTTTGAAATATGTTTTGCCTCCCACTTCTGTTTGGGACTTGATGTTTTCCCTATTGGCTCGGGTGGGGCATATGAGTGGTTCTCTGATAATATATTGGTGTATTATCTGTGACAAGAAAAGCATCACACTTTGAATGTGTTCATGGAATGCTCCACCTATGATTTAGACAGGTTGTATTTGTGCCAAGTGCACCATTTTAAAGGTTGATTTGATAAGGGCCTCACATAATAGATGTATAGTTCTCAAAATATTTTGTACACCATCATAGTCATTTGAAAATAAAAAATAAAAAAAGAAGGTGAAACTGAAGTTTGAGGAATGTGGAATGAGGATTTTTATTTTCCCCCTGTAAATTGAAGCTCTATTTATTTGGCTTAGTTATTTAGCTATATTTTGTATGTATACACAGCACTATGAAAGAAATGATATAACTATATTGTGATTTAATATTTGTTAGATAGTTTGTATGAGAATGACAAGCCTTTCATTTATATATATTTGTTTGTTTATGGTCCGACCCTCAACCCCTCCACCTGACCCCCTTTCCATGTGACATTTTGTAGGGTAAAAATAAACTTGTTTCAATGACATCTGGGTAAATTCTTTACTTTGGGTTACACTTCTGTACAGCTGGCTCTTAAAACCCATATATGTCTTTGTACTATGAATATACTAGGCAGACAGTCATCCATTTAATAATGACAGTTCTCACGACTGCATTAGATGTTTCTCATGGTGCAACACTGCACTCTTCTGATCACAGAAAGAACCACAGTTATAAATCTGACCACTCAAACAGCAACTTCTGGTCCAACATACAGAAGTCCCTAGCACATCACAGTTTTAAACATGACCATTATTTAAATTAGTTTAATCGGTGTCCGTTACAATTGACCAAGACCAAAAATAAATAAATAAAAATTAATTATCTGGCTACCAAACACATCCATCATTCAAACATTTCATCCAAACCAACTATTGCAGTTTAGACATGGAACATATTACACAATGTAAACATCAATTATATTAGAAAATTATGATGAACAGCATTCTGACAAATGTTCAGATTTAGTGATTTCAGCTTTATGTATAAAAGAAGAATAACAATGAAGGTATGATTAATCTTTTCACTGTATTCTTGTTTGTTCAGACAAGTCACAGGGTGAATTTACAGTTTGTGCGTTTGTAGCAGGATATCATGAAAGTATTCCATTTCAAAAACACTTTTTGAAAAACTTTAAATGAATACGAAACACATTTTATTAAATATGGGCCTAGTTCGTGAAACAAGCAGAATGTTAGTTTATAAAACTACTGTCACAAATACTGTAATGAATTTGTTCTGCTCATGTTACATGAAAGACTACACAAAAACAGAAATAATGTAATCTAAAAGAAAGTGGATGTTTTATAAGAAAATACTGTAACAGTATTTAGGCCAATAGCGAATTGTCAATGCAAGCCTTTTGAATAGAGTGCTGCAGTGATGACATATTTTTGTAGGCCAAACCATAAACAACAAAAGTTTGATTCTTACATCGTCGCAATAATCCTCACACAACTTTAACAACTTTTTGAAGCCTAAATACAATCTGCAAAAGTAAAACGCTAAACAAAGACTGCTAAAACAAGCTTCCAACAAGCCTTTCAGTCTTTATTTAAAAAAAAAAAAAAAACTTATGAAAATCTGAGTCAGAATTAGGGGGGCATAGGAGGGGTTCTCTGATAATATATTGGTGTATTATCTGTGACAAGAAAAGCATCACACTTTGAATGTGTTCATGGAATGCTCCACCTATGATTTAGACAGGTTGTATTTGTGCCAAGTGCACCATTTTAAAGGTTGATTTGATAAGGGCCTCACATAATAGATGTATAGTTCTCAAAATATTTTGTACACCATCATAGTCATTTGAAAATAAAAAATAAAAAAAGAAGGTGAAACTGAAGTTTGAGGAATGTGGAATGAGGATTTTTATTTTCCCCCTGTAAATTGAAGCTCTATTTATTTGGCTTAGTTATTTAGCTATATTTTGTATGTATACACAGCACTATGAAAGAAATGATATAACTATATTGTGATTTAATATTTGTTAGATAGTTTGTATGAGAATGACAAGCCTTTCATTTATATATATTTGTTTGTTTATGGTCCGACCCTCAACCCCTCCACCTGACCCCCTTTCCATGTGACATTTTGTAGGGTAAAAATAAACTTGTTTCAATGACATCTGGGTAAATTCTTTACTTTGGGTTACACTTCTGTACAGCTGGCTCTTAAAACCCATATATGTCTTTGTACTATGAATATACTAGGCAGACAGTCATCCATTTAGTAATGACAGTTCTCACGACTGCATTAGATGTTTCTCATGGTGCAACACTGCACTCTTCTGATCACAGAAAGAACCACAGTTATAAATCTGACCAAACAGCAACTTCTGGTCCAACATACAGAAGTCCCTAGCACATCACAGTTTTAAACATGACCATTATTTAAATTAGTTTAATCGGTGTCCGTTACAATTGACCAAGACCAAAAATAAATAAATAAAAATTAATTATCTGGCTACCAAACACATCCATCATTCAAACATTTCATCCAAACCAACTATTGCAGTTTAGACATGGAACATATTACACAATGTAAACATCAATTATATTAGAAAATTATGATGAACAGCATTCTGACAAATGTTCAGATTTAGTGATTTCAGCTTTATGTATAAAAGAAGAATAACAATGAAGGTATGATTAATCTTTTCACTGTATTCTTGTTTGTTCAGACAAGTCACAGGGTGAATTTACAGTTTGTGCGTTTGTAGCAGGATATCATGAAAGTATTCCATTTCAAAAACACTTTTTGAAAAACTTTAAATGAATACGAAACACATTTTATTAAATATGGGCCTAGTTCGTGAAACAAGCAGAATGTTAGTTTATAAAACTACTGTCACAAATACTGTAATGAATTTGTTCTGCTCATGTTACATGAAAGACTACACAAAAACAGAAATAATGTAATCTAAAAGAAAGTGGATGTTTTATAAGAAAATACTGTAACAGTATTTAGGCCAATAGCGAATTGTCAATGCAAGCCTTTTGAATAGAGTGCTGCAGTGATGACATATTTTTGTAGGCCAAACCATAAACAACAAAAGTTTGATTCTTACATCGTCACAATAATCCTCACACAACTTTAACAACTTTTTGAAGCCTAAATACAATCTGCAAAAGTAAAACGCTAAACAAAGACTGCTAAAACAAGCTTCCAACAAGCCTTTCAGTCTTTATTTAAAAAAAAAAAAAAAAAGGAACCAGACATGCTAAAATGCTTATTCCTGGTTGTTGTCCTGCAAAATGTGTAAACCCTGCAGCACTCTATAAAATTGCATTTTGGACACCTGCACACTGTCGGGTGGGTTGTGTTTTAGTTTAAATGGATAGTTCACTCAAAGGATAAACATTTGCTGCTTGGTTTTGCTCATTTATGCTAACACTTTTCAGTGCAAATATAAGTTTGCTCATCTGGTGAAAACTGTGACAACCTTTCGAAATGCAGTATCACTAGCTGCATTATCATTATTAAAATAAATATACACTGAAATAAAGTATTCTTTATATGTCAGGTCTTGAGTAAGTTACATTTCATGCTTGGAATGGACAAAGGAATAGTAAAAATGACAATAAGTAGATTAACTATAGAGGCATGTGAAGGCACATTTTGTTACAGAAAACGGGTGTCATTCTAAAAAGAAAAATACTGTAGTGACATTCAAACAGGTGAGATTAAGCCAGCGGTTTATGCGTTCTTTAGGAATCAGGTGGCCAATGAAATTCACCTCTCTGTCCGCCCGTCTTGCTGAGCAACTTGATGTCAGTAATAAGAATGTCATGGCTGACTGACTTGCACATGTCATAGAGGGTTAGTGTAGCCACCGCAACGGCGGTCAGGGCCTCCATCTCCACTCCTGTGCGGCCCGTGGTTTGGCAGGTTGCCTTGACGATGACAGCATGTTCTTCCTCCAGCAGCTCTATGGTAACGGAGGCGTGGTCGAGAGGAAGCGGGTGGCAGAGGGGAATGAGAGATGAGGTCTGCTTGGCACCCATGATGCCCGCTAGCTGTGCTACTGCTAGTGCATCGCCCTTGGCAAGCTGATTGGCACACACCAAATTAAAAGCTTTTGGGCCCAGGACGACCTTGCCACAAGCCATGGCTGTGCGACAAGTTACCGCCTTATCGCCCACGTTGACCATGGAGGCTTTTCCCTGTGCATCAGTGTGGGTCAACTGATCAGAGGTTCCATCAAGGCTGGACGACTGTGCATCTGTATGTGGTGTTTTCAAATCAAACCCACATTCAGGGGTTTTGCTGCAGTAGTGCCGTGCAAACTGCAGAGCTGAATCTCTACATTTGGACGTTGACAGTAGTGCACTCAGAAAGGGAGGAAATGTTTTGGACTGTAGCTGTGGTGGCTGAGACCCCCAGCGCAAAATGTGCGTATGAAGAGTTGAAGCTGTGGGTTTTTTTAAGGCACCAGCATTCACTTGATGATAAGATCCGGTCATCACTTCACTGCAAAGTGCCTCTGAGGCTGCACGACTTTGCCTTTGATTGTTTAATCTTTTCATAGAACGAAACCTTGGTCGATTATGCTTTTTACAAAGAGGAGTCAAACCTAGTGTATCATTAACAAAAATGCTTGGGTAGTCCTGATGGGCAGTACCACGAAAGTGTTGAACGGAATTTGTTGAGTGAGTTGTAGCAGAGGCTGCTGAATCCATGCAGTGGATCAGAGGAAAAGGCTGCCTCTGACTGCCTCTAAACAGAGGTACTGACAGCAGCCAGTTGCATTCTCTACCTGTAGACAAGGGCACACATATTCAACAATACAATATTTTCTAAACGTGAATCCTCCACAGCTGAAAATTTGGTGAATGAATACACATTAACCTAAGCGGGTGGGTGGTAAACAATACATACAGTGGGTACGGAAAGTATTCAGACCCCCTTAAATTTTCCACTCTTTGTTATATTGCAGCCATTTGCTAAAATCATTTAAGTTAATTTTTTTCCTCATTAATGTACACACAGCACCCCATATTGACAGAAAAACACAGAATTGTTGACATTTTTGCAGATTTATTAAAAAAGAAAAACTGAAATATCACATGGTCCTAAGTATTCAGACCCTTTGCTGTGACACTCATATATTTAACTCAGGTGCTGTCCATTTCTTCTGATCATCCTTGAGATGGTTCTACACCTTCATTTGAGTCCAGCTGTGTTTGATTATACTGATTGGACTTGATTAGGAAAGCCACACACCTGTCTATATAAGACCTTACAGCTCACAGTGCATGTCAGAGCAAATGAGAATCATGAGGTCAAAGGAACTGCCTGAAGAGCTCAGAGACAGAATTGTGGCAAGGCACAGATCTGGCCAAGGTTACAAAAAAAATTATGCTGCACTTAAGGTTCCTAAGAGCACAGTGGCCTCCATAATCCTTAAATGGAAGACGTTTGGGACGACCAAAACCCTTCCTAGAGCTGGCCGTCCGGCTAAATAGCTATCGGGGGAGAAGAGCCTTGGTGAGAGAGGTAAAGAAGAACCCAAAGAGCACTGTGGCTGAGCTCCAGAGATGCAGTCGGGAGATGGGAGAAAGTTGTAAAAAGTCAACCATCACTGCAGCCCTCCACCAGTCGGGGCTCTATGGCAGAGTGGCCCGACGGAAGCCTCTCCTCAGTGCAAGACACATGAAAAAACACCTGAAGGACTCCAAGAGGGTGAGAAATAAGATTCTCTGGTCTGATGAGAACTTTTTGGCATTAATTCTAAGCGGTATGTGTGGAGAAAACCAGGCACTGCTCATCACCTGTCCAATACAGTACCAACAGTGAAGCATGGTGGTGGCAGCATCATGCTGTGGGGGTGTTTTTCAGCTGCAGGGACAGGACGACTGGTTGCAATCGAGGGAAAGATGAATGCAGCCAAGTACAGGGATATCCTGGACGAAAACCTCCTCCAGAGTGCTCAGGACCTCAGACTAGGCCGAAGGTTTACCTTCCAACAAGACAATGACCCTAAGCACACAGCTAAAATAACGAAGGAGTGGCTTCACAACAACTCTGTGACTGTTCTTGAATGGCCCAGCCAGAGCCCTGACTTAAACCCAATTGAGCATCTCTGGAGAGACCTAAAAATGGCTGTCCACCAACGTTTACCATCCAACCTGACAGAACTGGAGAGGATCTGCAAGGAGGAATGGCAGAAGATCCCCAAATCCAGGTGTGAAAAACTTAATGCATCTTTCCCAAAAAGACTCATGACTGTATTAGATCAAAAGGGTGCTTCTACTAAATACTGAGAAAAGGGTCTGAATACTTAGGACCATGTGATATTTCAGTTTTTCTTTTTTAATAAATCTGCAAAAATGTCAACAATTCTGTGTTTTTCTGTCAATATGGGGTGCTGTGTTTACATTAATGAGGAAAAAAATTAACTTAAATGATTTTCGCAAATGGCTGCAATATAACAAAGAGTGAAAAATTTAAGGGGGTCTGAATACTTTCTGTACCTACTGTATATGAAACATGTTGCTTGTTGATAGGGGTGTGCAATAGGTATAATGTAGAATAATATAGTTTTTGTTATACAGTTTTTCTCAGACGCCGCTTTGGTGCATTTCTCAGATCAGAAATGAAATTCTCAAATCTACTTGTTCAACCTCCACATCATCTAGTCACGTTGTGCACATCATAAAAGCAGTTTCTCTTTCTTTTGAACAAGATGCAATTGCTTTGGTACATTCATGCAATTGATTACATACATTTGTCTGCTGGTTCCTACAAAATTAGTTGCTAATGTCATGTTGCTCAAAATGTATTATAGGCTATAGTTATCTGTGCAATAGTCTTACCCCTCAAAACATCTAGTCATTAGTTCACTGTACAAGTCATTAAATGCAAAATGGTTAATCTAGTTGTCATAAACTGTCAAGCATATTTTCTACACATGCATGCAAAAGCGAAGTTCTGCCTTAGGGATGTTTCCTGTGTTTGCCTTTCTAATTTTGTATTTTCACCTTTGTGCTTATATTTGTCTTCTCTTTATCACAATGACATTGCAAGGTTGTTGTTTGTTTTTTTTGTCAGACTACTAGTAAAAGTGTAACTATGAATCATATCCAGTCTGTTTCAATCAATATCCCACATACAGTAATGTGTAAATTTGTACTTTTGAAATGGATATATGGCATACATAAGAAGTGCAGCTTTCTGCATTTCAATACATTCAAAACTGTTGCCATAGTTTACATCAGGTAATACTAACAGAGTGCATTGTTATATTGACAACATGACTAAGCATTTTGACTATCTTGTTTGTGAACAATGACACAAGGACTTTTCATTCTGATGGCACTGAGAAGTTCATTGACATAACTACTTTTGAGAGATGAACTAAAGATTTTGAGTAAGTTGCAGGTAAACCATTGTGTGGCGATGTTTGTACGAATTGTTTTGAGAAATGCACATACTTCTTTGCAAATATTAAGGATTGGAGAAATGCACCAATGCGACTGAGAAAAACAGTGACAATGGTGAAGCTGACATTATTGAGCACACCTTATATCTCAGTATTACTTATATTGTAACTGCTGTGTAAATACATCTTAATGCTGCTACATGCTATATCTAAATTATGTAGTTTCTCTGCCATTTCGGCAGTGCAAAAATGGATTTTACTGATACTGATTTCATTTGATTGGTAACAATGGTAAAAATGCCCCTGGAAAAATCCATTTAGGGTGGCAAAATTTCTGTAATTTCTGTCACTGCTGTGAACTAACCAACGCACAGAATATGAAGAATATGAAAAGCTTTGGCAGTCAGCTGTCCATAACAGACACAAACCAGTCAAGGTACCAGCACAAAAACAAAATACTGCAAAATATTGTCTGATTATCCTTAAGACAAAATCGCAGAAAATAATGAGATATTCAACGCTATGGCACACTCCAGTTGATGATATAGTGAGGGAGATGGGAAGCGTATTACGTACAGCCACATCACCCACCAATGAGGATCATTGGCCTGTTCTTCATTCCGTTTCATCATGCCTGTAATGCCTGATAAAGCGGCGTTTGTGAGCGCAGTGCTGCTTTGTTTACAGCGCTAATGTGGAAACCTCTATTTTTACCCCTCCAAAAGCAACACCTAGTGGCAAATAATAAATTAGCATTTTCATTCAGACCAAGGCGAAAAGACCAACAAGTGGGCGGGCAATATGCTAATGTTTCATGTTGACGTCAACATGAAACGGCTTGGGATTCGTTGACTCGTGACTCGAAATGACTCGTTTTAAATGATTCAGAGTCGACTCTTTCTTTTGAGAGACTATAACTTTATACACGGTGCACTTTCAGATTAAAAAATTTGCAGGATGTTTTCATTCACTTAGAGCTGTGTTGCACACTGCATGAAAGGTAATTTTCAAAAATCCATAATAGGGGCACTTTAATAACATCACAAGTTACAGAAATGTCCAACATTTACAGAGCAATAAATAAAAACTGCAACAACTTGACCCTCAAAACAGAACATTTAAATTAGCACCAATGAGAATGTAACATTGAGAATGATTCATAGCCAATGATTTATTTAGCAGTCTGGAGCTGAGCTGACCTTGGCTGTATCCGTTTCCTCTCCAGGCACAGGCTCCAGATTGGGCCATTTTTGCTTTATAAAGTCCAGCATCTCCTGATAGCTCACCATCATCTTGAAATTCCATCTGTTACCTACAGAGACAGGCAATGTGCAGAGGTACTTAAACAACATTCAGCTGCTTTACATTCTTGAATGAAGAAATGTTTTTGTTGTTGTTCTTTTTGAAACATGAATTAAATGGCAGATTATTAAGAAGACTTAAAAAGAAATCTTAAAAAGGCGTCCCATGTGAAGAGATATTAATACTTAAATCAATCTTGAAGTGTTTCACTACAAACTTCAAACTTTTTTTCCAGTGCTAATCTCAATCTTTCTTAAACTTACACACACTTGAAAAAGTGCAATGAAAACACAATAGTCCACATCTTTTCATAGTTTAAGATGGATTCAACATGTTTAATTATTTAATTTTTTCCCTGTAGTCATTCAGAGTTTCACTTTGAGTCAGTTGAAGTGAGGATAGATGAGTCTGCGTACTACACAAACGGCTCCATTATTCACAGTATCTAATCAGTTGTTACTGGAGTGATTGCTGTAGTATTGGCCCTCAGGGCAAAAAACTATAACAGTGACACCATATCAGCTTCTGAAACTGGCTTCAGAAAATCTCTCTCTTCCAGGCTCACAAACAGAAATCAGTTACACTTTATTTCGATAGTCCACTTTAGACATTCTTCTGACTATAAGTAACTTTGTAACTACATGTCACCTAATTCTCATTAATTTGCAACTACATGTCTACTAACTCTCAGAGTAGACTGTTAGGGTAGGTTTAGGGTTAGTAGAATAAGTTGACAAAGAAAGTGTTAGAAGATATTAAGCAGACAGTCTACTAATACTCTACTAACTGCTAGTTGACATGTAGTTGCAAAGTTACTTGCTGTTAATAGAATGTCTAAAGTGGACTATCGAAATAAAGTGGTACCCAGAAATGTATTGAATGTCTCTAAACTCTTCATTGTCACTGTTATCCAGTAAAAGGAGTTGAAACTTGTTTCTGCACATTGTTGTTAAACCTGTTTAGTAGTGAAGGAACATGACTTCACCTAAAATATCAACAGAATGTGGACTGCGATAACATGTGTTATGAATATAAATCCTGAGGTACACTAAGTTTCACTGACCTGGAAAGAGAATAACCTGCACTACTAATGCAATTAAAGAACTGGGGCAGAAACTGCAACCTTTACAACTGTGCCAATTATACTACAACCTGTAAGATGGGCTAACAAGTGTATGACGTAGATTTCTCTATTTGACTTCAGATAACAATCTTACCATCAAAAGGCATGTACTCTATGAATCTCACATCCAATGGTTTCCTCTCTGTCAGTGACACAAAGTCAATCAACTCATCTTCATTCAAACCTCTCATGACCACACAGTTCACCTGAGAAGAGAGACAACACTTTACCACAATGAGCGAATAACTGACACAAAGACAAATTATGAATATTAATGACAAGCTGTTTCAGGTGTTGCTAGACAGGTGGTAAGGAATGCCCTAAAGTGGTTTTAGAGCTCTAGCATTTGACACTTTCTGAGACATAAACCATTTCATACATCAAAAGGGATTAACAATTCAGATGTTTTGAGGCAGGAAAAATACCTTGACTGGATTGTAGCCCATTTCAATAGCCTTTTCAATGCCCTCCATCACTTTATGAAACCCTGCAAGAAATATTATCATTTAGACATATTGCACATACTGAAGGTAGCGACACACCAAAATTCTGGCAACCAAATCTTTTGTGTGAGAGTGACTGTATTAAGTGTTTATTTTGTGTATATAATATGAGCAGCTTATACAGCTTGGCATTCAAATTTAATGAATAAATGTTTAAAAGATCATCTACCTCTCAAATCCCTAACAGAAGTTTTACTGGACAACATTGGATTAGAACATAATAATTTAGTTACATGTTTTGTCCCAATAATGTAACAGACTCAAATTGGTAATAAAAGAAAATTATGAAACATGAACATGGAGCGATCTCAAACGAAACTGTACATTTTCATAATCCTTTGGTCAATTATTTTCAGCCTTTTGAGATCAACAATGGAACTAAACTGCTTCATACACTTTCTCAATGTTCTGCTGCTACCTTTATGCTTCAAGACATTCAAGATCTACATTTCTTCATCCATGACACCTGTGATGGAAATGTTTTATGTAATGGCTTCAGAAGGAGTCAAGGGAGTGTGTTCAATGTTCAGAAAAGTGCAGACTTAGGATGCTCAGATCAAAGACCATGTATCTATGATTAAAGAATCTATACTTACCTAAAAGTGCTTAAAACAGTAGAGCTAACAGTCATATGACAAAGATAAGTACAACCAATTACAGTGAAGAAGACTTGAGTGACACTGATTTTTACTCAACTGCAAGGTATAAATGTTCATGTATCTTTCTGTTCAGGGAGTCTCTCTTGGTTGTTGTGACGAGTGGGCTCACGGCCGTGAATAAACTTTTATTCCTGTAAAGATCAACTTTGGAGTCATGTCTGGTATATGTTGCGCAGCTGAGGAATAGAAGTACTAAAGATTCTACCCTCAGAGGAACACAGCAGGGACAGTGATACTGTTGGAAGACTATAGACCCCCACTCAGGGTGAGGCTGTAATACTCAAGAGTTGTTATTAATAATAAATCAAGAAGGGTGGTGAGAGTGTATACATGCTAAAGGCCTGGTGCTCATGTGTGGTTTGAGGTAGTGATAGTAGCTTCTTGACGGGACGCCATCACCATACTTCGGTAAGGGAAGTATAGTATTGTATTGAACTGGTATTGTATAATGTTATTGACAACTGGAGGTTGTCTGAGTTGTACGTGCCATGGTAGAGAAGTCAGATTAGTTTTGTCATCAGTAAGATGTATTTGCATTGAGAATTTCCACGACACACCTTATGCTTTCTTTCTGCACCTATCTATCCGTCCTGGAGGAATATAAACTTTTGGAGTTTATAAACCATTTTGGAGCTCAACAGGACCTAGTACCTTTTCGTCTAGCGATGAACTCAAATTTTGCAGGGACCAGAGTGTCTAGACTGATGTTGAGTAGATCCACTCCAGCTTTCTTTAGACTGGGCAACAGTCGGGTCAAATTCATCCCATTTGTGGTGACTGCAATGGTCTGTAGACCCTCCAACTTCTTCAGTTCCGCTTTCAGAAAGAAAGAAAAAAGATAACTATGCAAAAATTTCTAAGTTTAATTAGTGTTTCTGAGTGTTACATTGTTTTGTCATGCAAGTTATGCAGAATAAAGTGTAAAAAATTCAGTACATGATCAGTGACGTACAAAATTATTATCAGTCCTAGGCTGCATTTACACTGCAAGTCTTAATGCACAGATCCGATCTTTTGACCATATCCAGCTGTCATGGATGTTTTGCAGCACAAAATATGACTGAATAGATAAAGACTGGAAAATAATGGCAATTTTCAATTGTTATTTTATCTACAGCTCGTTAGTAGAAGCCTGTATTAGACAAGAATGGGACAACATTCCTATTCCTAAACTTGAGCAACTTGTCTCCTCAGTCCCCAGACGTTTGCAGACTGTTATAAAAAGAAGAGGGGATGCCACACAGTGGTAAACATGGCCTTGTCCCAACTTTTTTGAGATGTGTTGATGCCATGAAATTTAAAATCAACTTATTTTTCCCTTAAAATTATACATTTTCTCAGTTTAAACATTTGATATGTCATCTATGTTGTATTCTGAATAAAATATTGAAATTTGAAACTTCCACATCATTGCATTCTGTTTTTATTCACAATTTGTACAGTGTTCCAACTTTTTTGGAATCGGGTTTGTAGAATTCTGAAGTGAAATAAAGTAGTGCTGTAAGATTGAATTAATTAAAATGAATTAACGTGAGAAAGAGAGAGAACGCATGAGTGTAGCCTAATAGTGAAGCTTGTTGGTTTAATTACAAAAACAGTTAATCACCTCAGTTATCATGAAGTTATCGCCTCATTGCTGAGAAATATAATGTAGGTTTTAGTAGCGAAGCTATTGTATTTATAGCCTAAAATTCATGGGGCAGGAGTTGAAAACCAGGTCCTGAATGTTGCGCAGTTTCTTACATATAAAGTTCCCGCCTCAATAAAATGCAAGGGCATATACAGCACGCAGACATTAAAATGCTGTCTTTATGAGCAGTAGGGTTGTAACGGTATGATATTTCACGGTATGATAATCATCTCAGAAAATATCACGGTTTCACGGTATATATTAAACAATAATTCTTATTAGTAACAATGACTCTTAAAAGAATAAGAACAAGTTATTTGAGTGAACAAATCCTTTATTACAACAAACCTGAAACCATTTTAATGAAAGTATACTACTGAAGTCTCCCTTCTGAAAATAAAGAAATAAATTTCATTTAATTTGAAAAAAAAAACAAAAAAATAAAGCTATACACCTTATGTATGTCTTATGATAGGTATGATATTTCACGGTATGATAATCATCTCAGAAAATATCACGGTTTCACGGTATATATTAAACAATAATTCTTATTAGTAACAATGACTCTTAAAAGAATAAGAACAAGTTATTTGAGTGAACAAATCCTTTATTACAACAAACCTGAAACCATTTTAATGAAAGTATACTACTGAAGTCTCCCTTCTGAAAATAAAGAAATAAATTTCATTTAATTTGAAAAAAAAACAAAAAAATAAAGCTATACACCTTATGTATGTCTATATCACACTTTAACATTTTAAAATGTTATCAAATGAAAATTTAACAACTTTTATTTTTGGCAAAGTGCTGCACAACAGAGGTATACTAAGTTAAAACATGGACAAACATGATATTCCTTAAAAATCATGCTTAAATGTATTAATATAAAGATTATTATTATTGATATTATTATTATTTTTGTTATTGTTGTATTATTATTGAATATTATTATTGTTATAACTTTGAAGTACATTGTACAATGCTAATATATTTCAGTCATAATTACAAGTTAAATCAAACTTTATTTTGACGGGTTGTAGCGGACCTTTGAGATTCAGAGTGTATTTAACAATGGTTTTTCTTTCAAAGCAGCTCTGGTGTTCATGTTTATGTAGATGCTGAAAATACGCGTCATGCATGCGTACTTCAGTAAGTAGTAGATAAAACGGCGCCACTCAGAGACTTGCAGAAACAAGCAGATTATTCATATAGCAGTCTCTTTGTGCTTTAATATTCACAGACACATATCTACTTTTGATTTATCCATCGATCAGATTGCGCGTTTTACGTGACATCCTCGTTATAGCCTACTGTAAATTCCATGTTCACGACTGCACCAGGATTCCCTCTGCATCACGGAAATCATATGGCCTTAAAGGGGTCATATGATGCGATTTCAAGTTTTCCTTTCTCTTTGGAGTGCTACAAGCTGATTGTGCATAGATAAGATCCCTGAAGTTGCAAAGACTAAAGTCTCAAAACCAAAGAGATATTCTTTATCAAAGTTAAGACTCTGCCACGCTCCCCTAAAACGGCTCGTTCTAGTAGATGCATTTAGGAATTTTAAGATTACTTACAACAGAACAGCAATGCATTTTATGGACGACCGTTTCGTGAACCTAGGAGAGGAGGTAATTATGACTTTGCTATGACAATCTGGCGCTTCTGAATCAGCTACTGTTTTGTTATTAGTTTAAGTATTTGCTATTGACTATTCAAATGCGGAGTTTTGCGCATCTTGTGTGTGTGTGAGAGAAAAACACAAAAAACACAACGACAAGTCCGAAAACAAAATAACAATTCAGAAAACACAGACAAATCAGACAAACCGGAAGAGGTAGGTATAGTTTGAGACAGCGCCATTGGTTTGGGATTACTCACCGCTGACTGGACGAGACATCTGTCAATCAACGTATACAGGAAGAACCAGCTGAAGAACAGCAGAGTCGTGGTAGAAAGTTCGGAGATGGTATTAATGTCATGAGCTGGGTTTGCTTCTCTGTTTCTCTCTCACACACATGGGATTTCACACACACATACACACACTACGAGCTCTCTCCAAGACGGGAGTCCTCGGAACCAGACCATCCTCGGTCGATTTGTGTTTCATCCAGTTCTGTGTCATCAGACGACAGACTGCCTTGTTTTGTGTCTTCAATAAAGAGACTGATTCTAACTGACTACCTTTGCACGTGGATCCTTTACAGCAACGTAGTGACAATTAAAGTAGCTCAGTTGAAATGTATTGTATGAATTGCCCTTACTATGGAATAAAAAATACGGAGTGTCTATTTACACTTAGTGCAAATAGCCCGCCTTGTTGGCAGAGGCTATGTACAGTAATTCCCCCCTGCAACGTGTGATTGGGCTAGTCAACACTTTAAAAGTGGCTATAAAAAATCAGCTCCAGTGGTGCAGATGGATAAGCTCGTGTTGTCGGCTATTTGATGCGATCGACCTGGGTTTGATCCCACCTTTTGCCGAACGTTTTTTTCCTCCCTTTTCAAATCTCGTATTAGCAATGGATTCTATTTACACTAAGTGAAAATAGCAGTATTTTAGCAATATGCTATTTACACTAATGTTAGTTTACACTATGTTAAAATAGCAGGATTTCTATGTATACTACTTGTTGCAAATAGTGGCAATTATCTGCACTTCAGTATTGTAGTACAATATAAAACAGAATGCAATAATAACGTATTGAGTGTAAATTATAATTTTAATTTTAATTATTAAAGGGGTCATATGATGCTTTTTTAAAGCTCATTATTTGGTGTAACAGAGCTGACTGTCTCGACCCCTCTCTCTCTGTCTCCTCTCTGTGTGTGTGTGCGCGCATGTGCGAGAACAGTGGAGTTGGTTGGCGTGAGTGAGAGCGTTCTGGAGTGAGTTTCATTTTTCTACTTTCTATTTTATTTTTATTTTTTTGATTAAACGTTTTCGTTTGTGAGTAAGTCTACTCTGAGAGTTAGTAGACATGTAGTTGCAAAGTTACTTACAGGTAGTAGAATGTCTAAAGTGTACTCAAAATTAAGTGTAACCCAATTAATAAAACCATTATGTATTGATTCTGGATAAAATGTTAAAATACAGTAGAATATTTGTAATACTAATCACTAATACTTTTTATTACCATTTAGTATGGCTTCATTTGGACTAGTAGCATTGATAGTAGAAGCAAATGTCTTTTTACAAAGCATACAGTATGTGAGAGACTTACAGCGAAGGTTACATTTCTCAGTGAGAGAAATGCGAAGGTAATTATGTCTGCGTCCAAAGGAGTCCATAAGGAACGCTGAGAAAGGCAGGACATCCTTCAGGACTCGCCTCTGACTACCTGGAACCATAAGCTCTCCGACCTACAGAGAAAAACAAATAGAACATGATAAAATGACAAATCAGCAGAACAAAATAGTTTGTATTCACAGTCATATTTCCAGTATTGAGATTTAAAAAATACATTCAGCTTTTGCAAAATTGTCAACTCAACGTGTCAACTCAACCAGAAGCTCAAATTTTTGATTTTGCTAATATTTTTTCTTAAGACAGACAGACGTGTATAGTAACGAAAGCCAAAATATTAAATGTCATGTATGAATATTGACTGAGTAATCCACTATTTTGTAGAGGGTGTCAAAATGGCAATTTTCACCTGAGATCCAGAGCCAAATTACAAGGGGGTAAAAATGACTTCAGAAAGATGGCAGCATCATTGTGTTATTTTTACACAGAGATTGGTAGGTCTGTTAGTAAAATCTGTTCACTTTAGCTATTTTTGTTGCATTATGTGCCAATGGTGACCATTCAAAAATTGGGAAAACGGCACTTTTCAAGTTTTTTCTCCAAAGTTTGCATGCCTGTAACTCAAGAAGTTTTAAAGATATCTTAATGCCCTTTTAGATATTGGGTCTTAACAAACTTTACTTTTGGCACCTTTAAGGCCCTATATAGTTCAATTCCAGAGATATTGGAGTTTCAATATGGCTCCAGGAGTAAATTGTTCATATTTTAAAGTTATATATTCTACTGTTTGTGTTCTAAAGTTATTTATAATAAGTGAAGTGAAGTTTGACCACTACATATTTTCAGTGGTCAAAAACCAAATGTGGGTCAATTTGCAAAAATATTATCCTTTTTTTTTCTTTTAAAGAGGAATGTCTGAAGAACAAATAATGTTGAAACTAGAGATGTATCTCGTTTTCTTCTGTCAAAGCAACTACATTGAACATACCTGTCTGAGTGCCATACATATTCTTGGTAGCACTTTATTTTACAGTCCTGATCCTCATGTACATACTATGTACTTATTATAGTAATTACAATAATAACTACGTACTAACCCTGAACCTACCCCTAAACCTAACCCTACCCCATGTATTTACCTTATATTACCAGTATTTTTTTAGGTAAGTACACTGTAAGTACACATACCATAAAGTAAAGTAAAGTAAAGTAAAATAAAGTACAACCATATTCTTTTTCCAAAGTTTGTATGCCTTTAACTCAAGAAATATTAAAGACTAGAGCCCGACCGATATGGGTTTTTGGGGCCGATGCCTATATTAGGGAGTAAAAAAAGTCTGATATCGATATATTGGCCGATATTCTTTATGTATATATTATAGTACAGTACCAGTCAAAAGTTTGGACACACTTCCCATTCGTGTGTCCAAACTTTTGACTGGTACTGTATATAGAATACAGTATACATACAACAGAATATATATATACATAAACACAATTATAGCAATGATAACTCAAATGTGGTGATCAAACACATAATTATGTGACAAAAATATGTAATGGAGGGGGTATTTAACAATTTAACAATCAACTTTATTATCCAAAACGAGTCTGACATCAGTGCACTTAAAAGTAAACTTCACTTCACTTATTATAAATAACTTTAGAACACAAACAGAAGAATATATAACTTGAAAATAAACAAGCTAACTGTGTAGGGCAACAAGCTACTGCCAATCCAACAGGGCCAGCAAACAGTCCTCGTCCTCCGTAAAATGCGTTGTACACATCTGAATATTTGGTTTGAACTGTTCTGGAACAGTGTTGTAAATACTACTTAACCACTGATTTCTAGTTGTGTCCTCTTTTGGAAGGCCAAACAAAGTAGTTTCTCTTTCACAACGAAACACACAGCGTCTCCACGACATGTCGGTGGCGGCAACAATACTACAGCGAGAATCAAAGTTACGCCTTCTTTCTTTGCGTATACATTTGGGCAGTGTTATGCAAATCTTCCCACATAGTGACGCAGACATGTGGGGGCGTGTTTGAACGAGGTGTTTTAGGAGGGTATGGACGAGTCTTAACTTTTATAAAGAATATCTCTTTGGGTTTGAGACTTTAGTCTTTGCAACTTTAGGGATCTTATCTATTCACGAACAGCTTGTAACAATCCAAAGAGAATGGAAAACTGGAAATCGCATCATATGACCCCTTTAAATGCCTGAGGTACTATCAGTGATTCTGCAAAATATGCCCTTCAGCACTATGACTATGCTCACATTATATAACAATAAAAAAGAAAAAGAAAAGTAATTCTAATAATTAATCCAGGTTAGGAAAATCATGGTTTATTAATGTGAATGCAATGTGTGGTGAAAGCAACCACTTTTCCCTATGAGGTGTGGGATTTGACTCAAAGATGTTGGTAGCTTCAGAAGCTGTTAAAATTAACAAAATCCCTTCTTCCAACTATAGAATCTTATGAATAGACTACTGAGAGAAAGGTAATGTCCCTCAACTTGACCATTTCAGTACATTTTTAGCACTCCAAACACACAGCGTCTCCACGACATGTCGGTGGCGGCAACAATACTACAGCGAGAATCAAAGTTACGCCTTCTTTCTTTGCGTATACATTTGGGCAGTGTTATGCAAATCTTCCCACATAGTGACGCAGACATGTGGGGGCGTGTTTGAACGAGGTGTTTTAGGAGGGTATGGACGAGTCTTAACTTTTATAAAGAATATCTCTTTGGGTTTGAGACTTTAGTCTTTGCAACTTTAGGGATCTTATCTATTCACGAACAGCTTGTAACAATCCAAAGAGAATGGAAAACTGGAAATCGCATCATATGACCCCTTTAAATGCCTGAGGTACTATCAGTGATTCTGCAAAATATGCCCTTCAGCACTATGACTATGCTCACATTATATAACAATAAAAAAGAAAAAGAAAAGTAATTCTAATAATTAATCCAGGTTAGGAAAATCATGGTTTATTAATGTGAATGCAATGTGTGGTGAAAGCAACCACTTTTCCCTATGAGGTGTGGGATTTGACTCAAAGATGTTGGTAGCTTCAGAAGCTGTTAAAATTAACAAAATCCCTTCTTCCAAATATAGAATCTTATGAATAGACTACTGAGAGAAAGGTAATGTCCCTCAACTTGACCATTTCAGTACATTTTTAGCACTCCGACAGGTATGTTCTGTGCATATTGTTTTGATAGAGGGAAACAAGATGCATTCCTAGTTTCAACATTACTTATTCTTCAGACATTCTGCTTTAAATACAATAAGAATCAGCTGTATACACAGTGACCAACACCTGCTTTTCAGCCACCAAAAATAGGTAATATTCAATAATCTGAAAATGGAGCCACATTGAGATCCCCATATATCTGGAACTGAATAATGTAGGGCCTTGAAAATGAAGATTTCAAAAGAAAAGTTTATTAAAAACCTAAAATCATATTGCGATATATTTAATACTTCATGAGTTATAGGCATTCAAACTTTGGAAAAATAATATTTATGGCACTCAGACAGGTGTGTTCAATGCAGTTGCTTCGACAGAAGGAAACGAGATACATCGCTAGTTTCAACATTATTTGTTCTTTAGACATTCCTCTTTTAAGTGAAAAGAAGTATCATATTTTTGCAAATTGACCCACATTTGGTTTTTGACCACTGAAAATATGAACATTTTAACAATTTACTCTTGGAGCCATATTGAAATTCCAATATCTCTGGAATTGAACAATATAGGGCCTTAAAAATGAAGATACCAAAAGTAAAGTTTATTAAGACCCAATATCTAAAAGGGCATTAAGATATCTTTAAAACTTCTTGAGTTACAGGCATGCAAACTTTGGAGAAAAAAATTAAAAAGTTTTGTTTCCCTATTTTTGAATGGTCACCATTGGGCACATAATACAATAAAGATTTCTAAAGTGAACAGGTTTTACTAACAGACCTACCAATCTTTCTGAAGTTGTTCTTACCCCCTTGTAATTTGGCTCTGAATCTCGGGTGAAAATTGCCATTTTGACACGCTCCACAAAATAGTGGATTACTCAGTCAATATTCATCCATGATATGTAATATGTTGGCTTTCATTGCTATACATGTCTGCCTTTCTTCAGAAAAAATATCAGCAAAATCAAAAAATTGAGCTGGGGAAGTTTTTGAAATTTGGTTGATTTAACACGGAATGACCCTATATATCTCAAGAACAAAGATTCATATAAAGTTGTATGGTATAAATTAGGGCTGCACGACAAATCGCATGCGATATTTTACAGAACCGGTAAAATCGTGCGACTATGAACGTAGTTTTGCGCAGCTCGTCAGTGAACAACGGCTCTGTGTAGTTAATGCTGCTCAATGTGAAAGCTCGCAGGTGATGGAGATTTACCGCTGATCCAGAACCGGCTTTACTGATAAGATGCGCATTAAATATCGCATGCGATTTATCGTGCAGCCCTAGTATAAATACCATATTTAGATGTAATTTACTTAGTTTTGTAGGCTATTGCCCAGTTTGGGGGAAGCACTTTGATGTTGAGAGATTTCACAGTAAGCATAACGGCTTGTCATGTTATAGAGCGTGACATCCATAACTGATTTGTCTGGTTTGGTACTTCAGTGAAAGTCTTATGACCCAACTGTTGTAAAGAAAGGAACATTTATAATTTGTCACACTTTAAAACAGTTACGTTCAGCATGAAACATAAATGAAACCACTTATATACTAGAAATTTCCCAATATATATATATATATATATATATATATATATATATTAAATTAATGCAATGACCATTTACATTTTTCAATTCTGAGGGCTAGTTTATACACAGTAATGAACTGACATGCAGAATAATTAATATATTCATAAACCATAGTACATAAATAGTATTTATTTCAAAATAAACTGTCAAAATAGAAATATATCGTTTTATAATTATTTTTGTCTGCATTATAAATATAAACAAACAACACATAATACTTAATATACATAAAGTTAAACAGGCCACAATCATACATCAACACAACACAACACAACACAACCAATAAATGCAAAACACGTTAACATGAACACAGACAGCATTCAAACAACATTAGCCACTTAAAATGTTATGTTTATGCATGAGTTTTAAACCTTGCCCCGAAGCATATAATTAGTCATCACGTGACTTTAAAGCGCTTCATGATCTCGTACCTGTGTAGTAGTGGCAGGTCAAAGTGCAAGTGTTAAAAGTGTAAGGAAACACACCTGCTCCAGCCTTTTCTCTTCATGAGTGACACCAGAATACCATCGACACAATCTGTATCTCCCACATGTCTGTTGAACTGCCCGCTTTGTGCAGGCCTCAGCCGCGGTCTGTGCTCCTAAGATAAGGCGTCTAAATGTGCTGCAGTTTAATGCCATCGTCAAAGCAAAAACGTTAGTCTGTGTTGAAATGGGGACATTATCTGCGCATGCAGCGGCTGGCTTAAACTTGACATGCAGTTCGCCAGGAACATTACGAGGGGGTGTCTTTGCGCAGCCAATGAACGTCAAGGATGTCTACAAGAATTCTGGGCAATATAGTTTCATGATTGCGAACTACAAACTATGAAAATACGACAAGGGACTTGGTCGGCTCAAGTCAGAACGTGTCAAGCAAAAAATAGGCTACAAGCTAAATCATATTGACTTACTAAAGCTGGCATTATGAATACAGATAAAATAATGTTCGATTTGAAATTAAACAAATACATTTAAAAGGTAGGCCTAAAAAGGTCAAAACCATATTTTAGACACCAGAAATGGCCACTTAGGCCTATATAAAGTTATAATATACACCAAGTAATGTTTGTCATCGACTGCGCAAACTATGCCCAACAACTGTGTGTCATGGATGATATTTTGATGAGCATCTGTTGTTAATGATTTCACAGTCTGCTGAAGTTACTCATCTTTTCCCGTGAGAGCAAATTTGGAGTTCGAACTTACATGATGAAATTCAGTGGACTGTTGTTCAGATGTAGCTGCATAAAAAGAAGTCTAGTCTGAAAGGGATAAACCACTATTTTTGAGTGCACAGAGATTTAATTTAATTAGTAAACACAAGTGTATTATATTACCTTATAAGGCAATACTGTATATATGTATGTATATGTATATACGTAGTGCCTTGCAAAAAAAAATTATTTTTCATTTTTTCACGTTTTATGTTGCAGCCTTATATTAATTTTAAATTACTTTTTTCCCCACATCAATCTACACTCCATGCACCACAATGACAAAGCAAATAACAGGTTTTTATAACAGGTATCTTTGCAAAGACCAAGCCCTGAGGTAAAAGAAAAGAAAAGAAAAAAACAAACTGCCCGTAGAGACAGGATTGCATCAAACCACATGTCTAGAGAAGAGTTCAGAAAAAAATTCTGCTGCATTGAAGGTTCACATTCACAGCAGCATGTAGCTTCCATTATCCATAATGGAAGATGTTTGGAACAACCAGGACTCTTCCTAGAGCTGGCCTTCTGGCCAAACTGAGCAACTGATGGAGAAGGGCTTTGGTTAGTGTGGTGACCAAGAACCTGATGGTCACTCTACTTGAGCTCCATGATCATATGTGGAGATAGGAGAAATCTACAGAAGGACAAACATCACTGCAACACTCCACTGATCTGAGCTTTATGGCGGTGTGGCCAAACTCAATCCTTTCCTCAGTGAACACACATGAAAACACACTTGGAATTGGCGAAATAGCACCTAAAGGACCCTCAGACTCTGAGAAACAGGATTCTCTGGTCTGATGAACCTCAATTCTAAGCATCATGTTTAAAGGAAACCAGCTCTACTCATCACCTGCAGAGTACCATCCCAAAAGTAAAGTGTGCTGGTAGCAGCCTCATCAAATATTTCTGGAGAAACCTGAAAATGTGCATCTGCCCCCATCCAAGCTGACAGAGCTTGAGAGGTGAAGAGATGAGGAGAAGGATGGCAGATAATTGCCAAATGCTGATGTGCAAAGCTTGTTGCATCATACCCAAAAATACTTGAGGCTGTAAAGGTGCTTCAGCTAAGTTAAAAACTTGAATACTTATGCAATGTACTTATTTCTGTTTTTATTTTTTTATAAATTTACAAAGTTGTGACTGTTCTGTTTTTGCTTTGCCATGGTGTGTGCAAGTGTAGATTGATGTGGGACAAAAAGTTATTTAAAGCAGTTTAACATAAGGCTGCAATATAACAAAACATGAAAAAAATGAAGTGGTTTGAATACCTTCGCAAAGCACTGTATATATACATAGTATGATATAGGAGAATATGAAGGTAGGACAAAATAAGAAAGACAAAGGCCCAAACTGAGCATAAATATGGTGGAGTAAATAATTTGGCGAGTTGCTGACATGCCAAAAAGTATGATAAAATTTGAATAATTTGTAATGTAAATCTGTACATTAATTTGTAATTTGTAAATACCTTTGTAACAGTATAGAACACTACTTACATAAAATGCACATAAATAACAATTGTCACTCTATATCTAACAAAAAATATCTTCACTAACACAGTGAACCAGAAGTGTTAGATCCTGAAATCGTTCATTTACCAGCCTACACCTTTAACCATAGACACATCTACACAAGTGTCCGTTAGGGTCTCACTGAAGATATCAATCTGACTCCATAACTCTCATTTTATATCATATCATTTTTGTTCTGTTTGAAATATAAGATATTTCAGATTTTTATTTGATCTTTTTCATTGCTAATATCTTTCATGTTTATTATAACTAGTATAATAGAATTTCACTTGTATATACTACAAATAACTTAATTGTGTTGTTTTTAAGCAGCAATGTTGAAAATAGAAAAATGTAAAATAATCTGTCATAAAACTCATATGTATTTTAACCACTAGGTGGCAGTATGACTCTATTGTGTCATGTGCCATTTTTGCCTGTTGACTATTAAACATTTCAAATACTACCATTTTGTTGTCGGTGGAGGGGGGATTATTAGTATTTTTGTCAAATTAAAAAATAGATATAAAAAAATGGATAAAGATAACTGAAGCAAGAGACTTTTAATTTAAAAATGAACATTGCATGACAGAGAGCTAAACTGTTAGACTATAAATCATGCTTCAATAAATCATGCTAAATGCAATGGTTTTGTATTTTCTTTTAATTATTATAAAAGATTAAACCTAATCTAAAGTACCATCTTGTAAAAATGTGAATGGTTGCAAAATACCTTGGAAAGGGATTATTAAAGTATAATTTGTTTATAGTTACCAGATATGCACATAATGTCTTGAATAAATGATTGACTGCCCTAACAATGTGTGATTGCTGTGTGAATTTGTCTTAACTGAATTACCAATACTAACCTGATCTTTATTAGTTATCCTTTCAGATATTTTATTTGATTTGATTATTTTCAGTGCAAATAATTTTAGTAATGAGTAACTGATAAACATTTGGAAAAGCATTATTCTTAAAATAATTTGAGACTACATCAGTGCTATGATATATCTGAAATAATACGTATATACACATTTCAGATTTTAAAATCGAAATATTTATTTCAAAATAAATGATTTCCACACAGACACATGAATTTGGTCTAAACCTCAATACACAACCGCAAAACAGCCATTAATGTTTTTAAAATTGACTCAAATCTCAAACCTGGCAAATCATTTTCAACTTAGTACATAATCATTATAAAATGTGATCTGGTGAAATGAGACAATGGGTCAACCACTCATAGTAATGCAAGATAATGAATGCACCTTTAACCAAAACATAATTTTTGACTTCTGAAATGAATATATATATAGAGTGATTCTTCAAGAGAAAGTAAACCCCCACAAACCCTCATTTGTATGGCCAAATTAGCATCCTAACATACAAGTTTATACATTTTGATTTTACATAAAGTGCAGTTTGATAACCAGAACAGCAGAAGCATTGATGAACTATGAGCAGGAAGTATTGTATTTAAAACTGTATGTACAGTACATGCAAGTATGTGCATGCTTATTTTGCTTCTTCTTTCTTCTACACCACCATCCCCATTTATGAAATGTTTTATGTATTTTACAAAGCAAGTATTGTCTTACATTGTCATCAGTTGGATAAAGCAAAGCTGTCTATCAAAGTTTAGGATGAATAAATCTGCATCTCTGATTGAGTGCAGAAATTAAGAGATAAATGAATAACTGACGCATAAAGCAGGTGCATTCAACCATCTTGTGACTGACTCAAAGGAACACAGAAGCACCACATTGTAACAATGAAATATATCCAACATATGCGAAACACTGTGCACAGCAAAATACGACTATCCAAAAATACCACTTTGGAAATGTTTTTATTATCATTATAATAAACTTAAATTACCAAAGGAACAACACTGCCTTACATATTGCTGTTTTTGTAGGTTGTTTTCTGTCTTTCAACAGTAAAGCAATATAAAGAGAGAGAGAGAGAGAAAGAGAGAGAGAGAGAGAGAGAGAAAATACAGACCGATAAGCAGGACATGTGCAGAAAGCTGTACAGACGGCTTGCTCAAATTACACAGGGTTCAAAGACCAACAGAGAACAGTTTACAGCACACAGTCCTTAAACATTTTCATTTTTTTTTTGGTATTAAATTGGTTTTCGCAACTAGAATCTCTCATACTCAATATAACGAACACTGAAATGATCTCCTAGATCCTTGAAAGTTCCTGACATAAATAAAGCAACAAAGTCCTTCAAACAGAAGCCACGTTTGTTTTGTTTTGTTTCAGTTTGCTGCATCCTGTACAACAAAATACTCACATTCACCCTCAGTTATTATCTGACTGTAGCAACAGTAACCTTGAGCTCTCACTGAAGTCCAGTCTTCTTTTCCATGGAATGTTTTTCAAGAAATATTGCAATGTGTATCTCTTCTTCAGTGTCTGATGCACACCACACTCCCCTTTTGCATCAAACATTCAATATCATTTTGCGTTCCCTGTTTATTCCATCACTGTAAAGAATGGCCTTTTATTTGATTGTAAGGTTGCTGACAAAGTGCATCTGTTCCCAAGTGCGGCAATAAAAGCCAACCAGTGTTTCAGGGAGAAGTGCTCCTATGGCTGATATATGATTCAGTTTAAACTGTACCCTGAAAAAAGGGCCAGACATAAAAGTACATATTAGAAAAGTAATACAGTTTTTTTTATTATTATTTGAAAACCACAGTGTGCGCCAATACAAAAGCGATATTGCCATGTCAGGGTTAGAGGCAGAGCCTAATATGGCTAGAGTTTCCCTCATGCACACCGTTATATTGTGTTCTCTGTGCAATTGCTTCTAGTAATGCTTGTATGGCTCACTGACACAGACAAAAATCCCTGACAGTTAGATTCGCTGATGCTAGAAAGTGTTTTTTTTTTTCTTTTTTCGTTTTTGTTGCTTTACATAACAAAAGCTACGTAAATTTGGCAAATTATCTTAGTGCTTGTGTCGCATATACAAAATATCAACAAAGGTCAGCATTTTATTATACAAGATGGTTCTTT